TGGACAAAAATTAAAGTTTTGATTATCTAAATGATTTAGTAAAGAAGTTGGTTTTGAAGAAATAATTGATTTATAGAAAAATATATATGTTTTGGTTAAGAATGATTGTTTAAAATCTTACAAGTGCAAAAAATTGTCTGAAATATTATAAGTGATGATTTTGTATACTTGGTGATGTTAAGTATATACTTGATTTTAGAGAAATTTGAAAAAATTTCTAAAATAATGTGATGTTTATAGTTGTTTTTTATAACTATACTTTCGACATAAATTCAATTATTTGAAGTTTTTATTATTTAAATTCTATAGGAGAATTTTACTTATGGATTATGATGCATAGGTTTTGACTTTGACTTGGAGATGATAGCAATATATTTGGTAAAAAAAATTTTTGAGACATTATGATATTTGTGGAGATTATGAAGAATTAATTGTTATATGATAGTTGGTCTATTAAATTAGAAAAAATAATATTCGAAATTGGAGACAACTTAGATAACTAGAAATTTATGTTTGAATTTACATAGTGTAAATTTATGGATATGATTTATTGCATTGATTTCATATGTATTCTAATGATTAATTGATAGAAAATTTCACATTGTCGGTGAAAAAAAAAATTACTATGTGTTTTTTTTTTTGTGACTAAAGGATTTGTTGATACTATTATTTAACGTTTAGGTTACATATGGTTATGAATACTCGGAGTAAAGAGAATTACATAAAAATTTGTGGACATATGTTTTCTTGTTATAAAATAATGTTATGAAAGTTAATTCATTAGAATTTTATTGGAAGAAAATATCAAAATGCACAGTGAAAGCCTATTTGATTTAAGTTCTAAATTTTTTATGCTAATGTTAGTTGAGAAAGAGATGATCTTTAATAAATAAGGACTAATGGATTTTGGGAAAGAATATTTTGTATTCTTTTTATTTTTTGAGACTTTATCGATGATTGACATTTTTCAAAAAAGTACCTATGTCATCACTTGAAGAGAAAATTTTTATAACGATAGTCATAAGACAAACATTCAATGATTTATTTTGAAGTTTTGTATGAAAGTAGATCTAAGTCTTAGATTTATTGGTATAAGGACAAAGAAGAAAAACTTTTATTTCTTGAATTTATGAAACAAATGGTTGATAAATTTTGGTTGATTAAAGAATTGTTTAAAGTAAGCAATAATTAGACAAGAATTCAAAGATAAGATTTATAGCTTCAAATGGTTAATCATTTGTACTCAAATGTGTCATTATTAAAAGTGTCACGAGGATTATAAAGTAAGAAAGGTTAAGTTTACAATATGTAAGGATATTTGAAGTTCTTGGTAAGATGAAAAAATACTATCACTTCAGATGTCTAGCATACAAAATGAATCTATGTCAAGAGAATATCTTGATAGAAGCTATGTGGTTAGACTTGGCTTGATAGGGACGTTAAGCTTTAAAAGTGGAAAGATTATAACGCTTCCAATCCCACATTAGAAGAATGTATAGATAAGAAATTACATATATGTAGAAGTTTAAACCTAAAACCTGTAAGGCACCTTTTGTGAGATAAAACTATGATATTTTCGGATTAAAGTAGATAATATCTCGTAGGTTAGGTGCGGACCTTTACAAATAATATCAAAATGGTTTTGGTCTTATAGTTGGACTTGATTTGATAGGGATGTCAAACTTTAAAGGTGAAAAGATTGTAATGCTTTCGATCTCACATTAGAAGAATATGTGAATAATAGCTCATGCCCTAGGCTTTTTAAAACGTTATTGTAATGTCTCCAATCCCATATTAGAAGAATGTATGAATAAAAGGTTATTTATATGTAGAGATATAAACACAAACTTGTAAGTCACTTTTTATAAAATAAAATCATATGACTTTCGGGTTAAAGTGGATAATGTCTTGTAGATTGAATATGGGTCTCCACAATTAGTGCATCCAATCAAATCGCAATTAGCTAAATCTCAAAATAATAATCCAGCAGTGTAGTTTTTGTAAGATTTAACTGGAGTCAGAGTTGCATAGAGTAGAAGCAGAGATTTGGTGTATCAGGTTTTTGAAGAGGAATGTCTGAATTCCGCTACCATTGGTGGAATTTGCTATCACGCCCCGAATCGAGACATAACACGATCATATTACCTTGAAAAAAACCTCAAAGTACTATGAAGCCTTTTTTCTTAAACATTGTAAAATTCTTCAATAAAACAATATACCAAGTAAAATTCATATCTTTAATCCAACTGATGATATATCTTTATATATCCAAATAAAAATCATATAAAATACAAAACTACCTCTTAAAATCTCATTGGCCAACATATTCTCTGACGATTAAGTAATCATACCCATTTCATCTTCTAGCTTCACATAAGATTAACCAAACTTATCACTTAGTCATCTGTAAAAAAAAAGTAAAGGGGGAATGAGCAAACCACAGCTCAAGTAAGTATAGGCTCACACACCTTATTAGATCAAGCATCATTTTCTTGCACATCATATAGATTATTCAAAACATTCATCAAATCATAATATCAAAACATTTCAAGATTATCGTTTTGTCAAATATTTCATAAATTCATAAATTAATGTCAAAATATGTCACTTCATAAATCATTGTAAAATATGCTATCATTCAAACATCATAATCAAACCAAATCATGGATCAATCACTAAAAATCATCGTAAATCATCATTATCATAAATCATCATTATCATTCAAATCGTTAGCTACAATCACTGCTATAACCCATGACATTGGTCGTATCGACAATTTCATTCTCATGATCATTGTTAACTATTATAACCCGTTAGCCAGGGCTTACGCTAACTACTATTACCGTTAGTCAGGGTCGTAGAACTAGTTCTGATGTCGATGATCCCACTTCCCAGGGATGTAAAAACGTAGCCATCACAAAATCATTCTTTAAACATAAATCTTTCTCATTTCATTCATAAGCATGATCCATAATTTACATAGCAAAAACATAAAATAATTATATGCTTGATCCCATTTTCATATATCGAAAATAAAGAAATAAAACATTCATTCATTTAGAAACATACATATATACATAAGTTCGAAAACAAATAAAGTGTGTGAGATTCTACTTACCTCTTTTGGATTCCACCACTTAGTTTTTCCCTCAAAATAATTAATGGCCTATCCAAGATCATTTCAACAGATCAAAATTTAATCAACCCTTTTTGAGACCATTTATACAAAAATCAACTAAGTTACACAATGGTTAACTTAACTAATTAATACTGGCAGCCTGACCTCTTTTCATTAAAACAATCATATCTCAACATATCTAAATCAGAATTATGATCTCTTTAATGCGTTAGAAACTAGACTTGATAAACTTTCTAACCATATATGGCACACCTCGTAATTCCTTGTAGATTAATTATAACAATTTTTGAAATCCACATCATATACTGCTGCCAAACAGCCTGTATACCTTCTAATAAAAACTATATATTTATTCATAGGAAACTCCAAATTCAATTCCGCTTGTTTTATTGGAAAGTAGACTCAATAAGTTTTCCAAACATATATGGCTTAATCTGTAAATCCTTGTATACAAATTAAGAAGAATTTCATAATTCAACCCTGATACTGTTGTCTTACAGCCTGCATATCCTTAAGTTAAAATTAGACAACTCTTCATAGAAAACTCGGATTTGACTTTCGTTTGTTTCATTAGAAACTAGATTCAACATGCTTTCCAATGATATATAATAATCACAGCAATAATCTATCCATTAATACAAAATTCTATTTTAATTCATTATTACAAATCATAACATCTCATCCAAAAATAAAATTTCTCTTTCAATCTTTAAAAACTCAAATCCTTACTTTCAGCCTTCAAACTCTATTCAATAATCATCAATAAATCTTAAGAACATGAAATAAACAAAGCTCAGTAATTCACCCAAATAGATCATGAAGATTAATGAAAGATTTCATGATTTTTCTTGGTTTTGCTCTCAAAATTTTAACTCCAAATAATAACAATCAACTTGATATTTCTTTTCAAATAAAAAGAGGGCATGTACTCACTTTTAAGAGATTAACTTGATAGTAGTCTCTGATTGTGAATCTCCAACTTAATTTTTCATATTCTCTAACCCTAAGGAAGATGAGGAAGAAGAACTTTATTTTTTTTTTGTTTCACAATAATTAGGTTTTCTTTCATCTAATACTTCAGCCCTTTTTCTTTTACTAAATAATGTCTTAATAAACTGATAGACTTTAGTATTAATATAACCTAATTATTATTTGGGCTGGAGTATTACATTAGCACTACCTCGTCATCTTGTCTTGGTCTTCAAATATCTAATGCTGGCAAATTTGAAGACAGATTACAGTCCATTTTGTCTGAAAGATGTCCATTCCAAAACTTGTAGATTAGTTAAAAAAAAAAACAAACAACCAATGGGACTTGTTTGTCGAAACAAATTTGTCATTTTTTTTGTTTTGGATAGTACTTTTGCACAAACAAGCAATTATTTACATTGTATTGTTTTTATTTTAAGCAAATGAAATCACGCACTGAATGGAAAGAAAGCTTCTACCTTACTACCTTTTTTCACTTTTTTCCCTGTCCATCTTCTTAGATCTGGAAATAAAAGGATTTGTACCAGGAAAAGCAAAAGAAGATGAAGATCCCATCAAAATGGGAGCATCCTGGAAACGGGGAAACTTGATATATGTCAAAATATAATTGGTCAAACGGCCAACAACATATAGAAAACGTCCGACAGCTCAATCCTCCATTAAAATACTAATAAATAAAATAGCGCCCGGTGGACCCTTTTCTCACTCCTACTTTTCATGAGCTAAAATTATATTTGTCAAAATAGCCGTTACAACTCATCCTCTATTCCGTTTATTCAGAATCTCTGTCTCTCTATCAAGAAATCCGTGCCTTTCTTTAGACCCCGCTCCTCAGTTTAAAGCTTTTATTTTTTGGGGTTTCCAAGCTTACTCTTTTTATAACGATACCCTCTCTCTTTCAGACAGGAGCGCATAGAATTCAAGAAATGGTTCTTACTACAATGGTTCCTTCTATGCAAGAAGCTGTCTTGTCTACTCCCTTATTATTATCTGCTTCAGCAAGTAGCAGGAGCATTAGCAGCACAAGCAGTGAAGTTGATGATAGCCCACCCGCATCGCATCGTTTTGAGCTTCAAGATGTCACCAAATATGAATTTCCATGCAAAACATTATGTGGGTTTTCATGTAAATCATTGGCAGTGCTGTCCGGGCATATTGGTTCGGTTTCTTGCTTGGCCTTATGTGGGGAATTCATCTTAAGTGCATCACAAGGCAAGGATATTATAGTGTGGCAACAGCCTGACTTGAGGCAGTTCACAAAGTTTGGCCAAGGTGATGGCTCGGTGAAAGCGTTTGTGACTGTAGGCAACAAGGTTTTCACTGCACATCAAGATAGTAGGATCAGAGTATGGAAGGTGTCAAGAAGCTCAGAGAATGTGTTTAAGCTTGTCGACACACTTCCTACTACTAAGGACTATTTGGGGAAGTTCATGAAGCAAAGCAATTATGTCCAAACCCGTCGGCATCATAAGCGTTTATGGATTGAACACGCGGATAGTATTTCTTGTTTGACCGTCTGTAATGGGTTGATTTATTCAGGTTCATGGGATAAGACCCTTAAGGTGTGGAGGGTATCTGATTTGAAGTGTTTGGAATCAATTAAGGCCCATGATGATGCTATCAATAGTTTAGTAGCTAGCAAGGGAGTAGTCTATTCAGCATCTGCAGATGGGAAGATTAAGGCTTGGCGAAAAGAAGGGAAGACCTCTCATTCGTTACAGGGAATTTTGGAGGGTCATAAGGATGTTTCGTTGAATACAGTTGTCGTTTCTGAGGACGGAAAGTGGGTCTATGGAGCAGGTTCAGATGGGTTTGTTATGGGGTGGGAAGGGAATAGTGATTTTGTTAGTTGGAAATTGGTGAGTGAGACAAAAGCACACCATATGGCTATTTTATGTATGAGCCTGATGGGCGAGTTTTTGTGCAGTGGCTCAGCTGATAAAACCATTGGTATTTGGAAGCGAGAGGCTTATGGTAAACTTTGTAAAGTTGGGATCATAAATGGCCATGAAGGGGCAGTCAAGTGTTTGCAGGCATCACCCTGTAATGTTGGTTGTGGTTTCTTGCTCTATAGTGGAGGCCTTGACAAATCTATAAGGGTGTGGTGGGTGCCGATGAACTCTGCTAATAACAAGGATACCTCTACAGCAGCAGATAACACAGATCAGAAATCTATTGCCTTGTATTAGGAATATTTTCATCAATGTTTTTGTGGGTGGTGAAGCACTGCTTCCTTTTTATTTCTCTGTAGTGCTTCCGCGGTCATTTGTTCGTTTAGTTTTGATTCAGGCTGTGAACATTTATTGAAGCTTTTAGGAGATCTTGAGGTTGGTTTTTGGGGTTCAGGTCATAGTGTGCAGTTACTTAGGATAAAATTCTTCAGAGTGGTGTGATCAATTTTTCTATTTTATTATTGGTTCTTTTTCCTGGGTTGTCATTCACTTTTCTGGATTCTTGTAAAATGTAATTATTGGTTTGAGGGAAAAATTCAAGCTATACAATAATTTGCATTTTTTTTTCGGTTGCATGATTGAGAATATAGTTAGCAGCTTTCATTTGTTTAATGAAGAATCATCGTCTATTGTTGGAATCGTGTGTTTGCTAATTAACGATAAAGAAATCAGGTAAACATCATAGAGATTACTGGGATTTCAATTATTGTTAGAATTTCAGTGTTTTAATCAAGGAATTAAACAATAATTTGTGGTGATTACATGATCTTGTTGGAGCTCTTATAAAATTTACTTATTTGAATCAGGTCCTTGAGGACAAACTTAGGCTTAATCAAGCGATGATTTCTGGAGTAGGGGCCACAGAACATGGCACTGTTACCATTGAACCTGACAAACTTCAAGGTTAATTAGGAAAATACTTAGATTATAGGTATAAAGAAACCTCAAAATGCTACTAACTCCTAAAGATAAAAACAGAAACAAACATTTTAACAAGCCTTTAAGAAAGAAATCTGTCTTAATTATATTGTGTGCTTCATCAATGTAAATATTCCTCTGCTTTTGTTGGATTAATGGACACATTTGTCCTTTACTTCGGACTAATCAAGTAGAAAATCGGGCTAAAAGTGTTTTAAATTTTTATACAGAATTTTCTGAGAAAGAAAGTGATTATTTCGAGCAACACACATCTTCCCATGTTGGATTCTTATATTCTTCCTTTCGTGGTTTTCTTCTGACCTGAGCATGCATTTTGGTAAGTGTTCCTAAAATGAAGCATGATTAGCAACAATCTTATGGCCTAATATCAGTGCTCAATAGTTAATACAGCAAATACGAGTACTTACCTTTCCATTTGGTTAAGAGCTTGACATAGTTTTCTCTTAGACCGGAAACCGCGAAGCATCAAGGAATCAATATGGTAATGGAACAGTTGTTTAATTGACTGTAAAGCAACCACTAAAGCTTGTTGAACCCGCAAGCAGCGAACCGACAATTGCTCTGCTCATACATACTTGTTTATCTTTTTTCCTGGTAGCCAAATGGAAACCATGGTGCTTTCCTGTCTGTATTGGACCACAGAAAGAGCACCTAGAACAGTTCCGTAGATTCATGAGAAAGGAAGCAAGCTACCATCTAAAGCAAACAAGTGAAGAGATGCTGCGACCTAAGCCAACCGTCCTTTAAGGACTTTGTACATGTGATTTGTTTAGAGCTTCTTTATAAGAATTTGGTATGCTATTTGTATATAACAATTTATTTTCCTTTGCTTCTTTTTATATAATGCTCAAACTCTTTCGAAGTTGGACCAGCATTCTTTGTTCCAAAAGAAAGGACCACCCTTTGCTTTTGTGCATTTCTTTGAATTATATTGCAAAATTAAAAAAAAAAAAAAATCAAAGCGGCCATCAAAAGCAACAGTAAGAAAACTTTGAAGGAATGCAGCCAACTAATATTGTCTTTCAGAATTGTCCGGTCTGAGGGACCGTTACACAAAATGTTCAAGCAAATAATTGGTTATACTCTTTTAAAATGAAACATTTTAAAATTCAGCTCACTAAGTATACTTTTTTTAAAGAAATAGCATCAGTTTAATGGCTCATTAATTTTCATTAAAAAATTAATGAAAAAAAAATAAACTTAACTCCCAGACAACTAGGAATCCTACCATTGTTCCTGTAGAGATTTGCAATGCTCGCAAAGTACGATTTGGAATTGAAAGTCCAGTGTCTGCACATATTTACCAGTTTCAACATCCTGCCATGAACATTATCATCACAAAACTTCAATCACAATTCTTGGACAATTTAATATTTTATTCATTCAAAACAAGTTGGGATGAAATGTCAGATGAAGGAAGGAATGAAAACCAAATAATTGAAAAATCATAGTCTTAATGCATCAGATTTTGAGGTTTTCCATATTAACGCGCCTCAAATCAAGTACATTAACATCTTTGCCACAATCCTCATCTGTTGAAATGTTGCTTTGAAAGTCATTTCTCGATCATCATTCATTGAATAAATCTATGACCAATTTTAACATGAGGAATGTGTGCTATCTTGAACCGCTCTAGTCCTTTATTTCTCTTGCAGTGTTCCTAATCCTCTAGCAGAGGGCATTGACGGATGCTCAGTAGCAAACATGAGGGAGGTAGACCTTCTTTTGGTAGAAATGTGAGCTTTGGGCAGTCTGAGATTCTCAAACTTGGCAGAGAGTTGAGGTTTCTGAAGCCACTGGAGGGAGGATAGGTATCTCAAGTTTGGAAAATCTTCATTCATATCTCCTCCTGTGGAAATTAAGGACTCGACATCTTGACATCCACAAATGTTAAGTCCTTTAAGAGAAGCGAGCCTGTGCAATCCCCACTCCAATAATGGATTACATATCTGAACAAACGAATTTGCAGTGTCAGAAACTCATCCTCCCATCCCAAGTGCACCTATCTGATGCTGGATGATGCTTAGCATTAATTACCATCTTTGAATTTTATTGTTAGAAGAATCAAAAAAGTTGATTTAAGAACCTAATGAAGGGCTTCGATACCACCATCACTATCTGCCACTCATGCACACCGTACTCAGTGCATTTCAGTGCGAGCCTCACTCTCATCATCATTAGCGTAAGCTATTTAGCCTTGAGCTTTCTTGATCCCAAATTTTTACCAAAAGATTGAATCAAGAAGACATAAGTTAAAAGCACTGTCTACAGCTCATATTGTTGCTTCAGTTCTGCGCGGTACCACCAAAGCCAAGTGTTCAATGTTCTTCCATAGATTACCGTCCTCAGCTTCACAACTCTGCCAATTTTTCCTCGTCAATGTCTACTAAGTGCAGGGATGAAATAGCATCAAGGACACAGTATAGTCCCCAAAGTTTCAGCCCAACTAGCATAGTTATCTATAGGTTTTTGGTTATAATTAAGTTCTTATGATGAGCTGCATGGCCTTAATTTTCCATCCTGGTTTTTGATCATTTATTTAAATTTTTTCCCTCTCTCCTTTCTCAATTATATATTACCTGGAATGCGACAGCGGAAATGCTGTTGTTATTCAACCCTTGTTTGATTATAGTGTAATTAGATGCTGCAAATGAAGCAGGCAATTATAAAATAGTTACATATCCTTAATTTTACGTTAGAAAATGTTCTTTAGGAGATTGGCATATTATCCTTTTGACTACCAAGGTGTGATGGTAAGCATATATTTCACAACAGACTTCTGTCCCTCCCTCTGACAACAATATATAAATGCATGGATGTTAACCCCAGGTTTAAATTTTTTAGATCCTTAATTTGAAAGTTATTTACCATAGTTGGACACACCGACTTCTCTCTAGCTTCCTTCGTTTTTTCTTCTGTTTCATTTTCTTTCCACCAGTATCTGACCTTGCATATGTTACAACTCATAGTAAGCTGTATTATCTCTCACTCCAATAATAACAATAAAGAGCATAAAACAATGAAATTAATGAAGCCAATTCTTCAAAAGCAAGCTTAGGATTTTTATGTATACATAAGAGTAGAATAATGCTTGTACCGTGCATATCGTATGCATGCATAATTTTTTAAGCCTAAAAGGACAATTCACCATTGTCTAGACCCATAGATATAAAGAGAAAAATGATCTCATCCGCCGTTATTAGAGTTTTTAGATTTCATGGGCAAAAAGAGACCGCATACCCCTTTAGAATACATTAACAGATAAAAAAGAAAAAAAAGGAAAAAGTGAGACATGTTGAAAATGAGAAAATAAGCAAAACAAAATCACAACTTAAGAACAAGAGCAAAATTTCATTAAATAGCAAGAACTTCCATACAGTTTGGTTATCATTACAAAAGACCTATATAAATCAGTTGCAGTTCAATTCATCATTTAAAGCCAAGGAGCGACCAACTGTTACAATAAAAGGAAAAATCACGGAGCCAATTCTGTAATGATGTTCCTGGCACATGCACACCATAGTATCATGTTGAGTATTATACGAACAAGGTATAAGTCATGCCTTCTGTGTTTGTTCGTAGAAGAGAACATATGCTTGGTCATGCAACACCTTGCTTGTCCCAATGGCCATGACAGAGGCATCATCAAATCGCAGCCATTGGCCATTGGGATAACGAGCATCAGCTGTATAATGTCCCTTAGAGGGCTCTCTTCCATGATGGGTTATTGTAGCGACAAGCTCATATTTTCGGCCCTATAAATAAAGCACAAAAAAAAAAACACATTGAATATAGCATTGGCTTGCTAACTAGTTAGGGGGCAAAAAAAAAGAAAAACAAGAACCTGAATATACCATCATTGTATAAGATACTATAGTAAAAGAAGACTTAAAGCAAGTCAGCTACTCAGCTTTGACTAACAGCTGCTTCATATTTCACAATGTGAATTTGCACCATGCAAAATAATGCAATGCAGTCATATTTAAACAAGCGAATGAAGAGAAGTATTACCTCAGTGTATGGAGAAACAAGTAGCTCCCTACCCAATACCAATTCAAGTGGGAAGTGTACAGGCTTATGCAACTTGGCACTTCCCTGGCTTCCATAGCTAAAACGCATCAGGTGCAAAATCATTATCTTTGAAAGTGTCTGTATCTGGACAGATTTTTTGGCAGTGACAACACCAGCCTGCTGGGCATAAACACACAAGAATATCCAATCTATCACAATAATATTTAACATACAGGAAAAGATGAGACATATAACACAAACAAACACTCAAAAGTATTAAGATTTATACAAAAATAGAATATAGCAGCCAACAGCAAATGGAAACAATTAAAATAAAATAAATACCTTCTGAGCAGTTGATGCACGATATCCCTCAAGATATTCTGGTGCAGAGAACAGATGAAGTGCATCCTCAATAGTATGAACAGCGTCAGGGCAGATATCAAGGTGCAGCAATAGAAATGGTTGAACAGTAGCAGAAGCCTTGTTTCCTGCCCCACATAACAAATTAAGAAAAAGAAAAGATTAAAATGTTAATAAATGGTACCACAACCACATAACAGAGTGCAAAATCCACCCAAGAAACACAAACTAACATCTGGATATGACAGATGAACAAAACCAAGTTTGGATAAGTACATGTATTTCCACTTTACTTACGAATAAAATTTTACAAGCATAAACTGCTGGAATTATCTAGTTGACTTGTCTATGTCAGTGTTTAGCTTGTTTTAGCTATCTTTTGTCAGGTACAGTCATAAGGGGAAAAAAAAACACAGGTTGGTAAACCCCATAAATACTTGTAATCAAACAAATAACCCCATGAATTGGCTATTTTCATATCATCCAATAAACTTTGCAGCTATATCAAATGTCCCTACCTCTTGCCTTCACCACACTTTTCAACTGTCCTCCAAAAATATCACTTAGCTCTGAAGGAAGGAAGCTTTGAGTTCTTGTGACTGCTGATTTGTTTTTTGGTCCAACTGTCTCCCATTCATCATCTTCAAAAGAAGAAACTAGTGATGACCTGATCCCATTAGAGCTACTGGACTGCCCTTGAAGCTTAATCAATTCATCATGCATTTGATCCATGATAAAACTTAAAAATTCCTGAGCATCTTCCTGCCTAAAAAAGATGATAAATAAAAAATCATCAAAAAGTTATTACGGAAGACCAACAGTTGTCTAAGTTCCAAGACATTGACCATAGTAGACAGTTAAGTCTATTGATAATTCAGTTCACAAGGAAAAATCATCAAAAAGTTATTACAGAAGACAAACGGTTGTCTAAGTTCCAAGACATTGACCATAGTAGATAGTTAAGTCTATTGATAATTCAGTTTACAAGGATATACAAACATTTCAACCAACTGTAGTATTTCTTTCAATAAAATGCTGGTGAGGAAGCTGTAGCAAGGTGGACTAAATTACTATAGAATTGCCACCAAAAGCAAGGAGAGGGAATTAATATGAAAGATAACTCAGCTCTCACATAAATTTTAACATTCTGGAAAGGGTTAAAAGAAATCAAGAGGGCCAGGAATAGCATAGATGAATCCATGATCATGGAGGGTGATATTTCAATACTATCATGTTATCAAATAGTCAAGTTTTGTTATTGTAAGAGAAAGGGTCTACACAAAGCATGTTACTTGGGTCTGATAAAAAATACAACTAATGAAATAATACTGATGTATAAAGTATACAAACCTTGGCCTACCAGATATGCTACTTGGCACATCTGGGGTAAAACTTTTAAGGACAGCTTCAAACATGCCAGGGCTGCAAGGCCTACCGATCTCAAGGACTGTTGTATCTTTCTTCTTTACATCAGAATCGCTGGATGGCACATCAAAGTCAGATACAAACTCTGCAAAAGCAGTTAATGTTGGATAGCCAACCTATCAAATCAAAGCCAAACATAAGGAAGGTTAGTTGAATCTATTGACAAGTTCATCTTTACTTATCTTCAAATATAACGAATCATCAATTAAGATGGTTATCTATTAGTGCATAATTTCAAGGAAACAACATAATTATACAACAAACCTTGGGTATATTACGAAGTCTAAGTTGCTGCAAGAGCTGGACAAAAGGAGAACATGATAGAAGAGCCTGTACAGTGGCATTGAGAAAACATAAATTTCCAGAGTTGATTAAGCCTCGGGGAAATAAGTTTTTAACAACCATGGCTGCCTTCTGAATGTCTCCTTGAACAGTGCATACTAATGAATTATCAATCATCCCATTCTTATCTCTACCCTCTACTGTTTCGGTCTCAAGGACTTGAAATTTTGAACTTTGAAAATCATTCATGGGACTGTATTCATTTTGCAATAAGTGCAGAGGAGTTACACCAATGCTTTTTTTCAGTTGTTCTACACCATTACTGAGGCGAGAACTATTGCTGGAACTCTTTGTATTTCCATTTTCTTTTGGAGTTTGAAGTGTAGTTGAGGAATGATCAGCTGCTGTTTTTCTACTTTTTCCATCCTCAATTGGTGATGTTGAGGATAGAAATCCAACTGGCCCATTTGTGGAACTAGGCTTGTTGCTTAAATCGCCAATGGCACTACCCAAAGATCCTCCAGCTGCAAAATTCAAAGAACCAAATTGCCATTCTTTCTTTTCCACAGGTTTTTCAGCATTCCCAACTGACTGCTTTAACAGCAGTGACCTGGTTTCATCTTCAGTAAATGACCCAAATACGAATACCTGGTAAAAGCGAGGAAAACAATGGAGCCACAATTCAGATTAGAGGCTAGGCACTTGATGCTTCATGCATGAGAAAGTTAAACATAATAAGGCTTGCCTTAAAAAGAGAAAAGGTAAAACGTCCTTTACATCATTCATAATGATAATTGTATATAGGTAAACCAAACCCACAATAAAAGAGGACGGCATAAGCAAGCATAAACCAATAAAAAAAAAAATCCTAAATTTTAAGTCCTGAACAAGATAACAAAAGTAAAGCCACCTGATAAGCAGCAATATTGTGTCCATTTAACAAAAACCCAGATATAAAAAAACAAGAATTAGAGGCAGGGAAGTGAACTAACCTTAGAATCAGTCATATTTTATACAAAGGGGGAGTTCGAGAGGTATCGAGAAAAGATCAAAGCCTAGGGCTTGAAAGGACCCTGAAGGAGCAGAAAAGAAAGAGGGTGCGATTGGAGAAGACATGAAAAAAGAAGGAACTTTGAAAGGGAGATAAAGAGAGAGCATTTAAGGGAAGAACCCTCTCTCTGATCCTTTCAATTTCACCAAAACCAAACATCGACTGCTTCAAAAATCCCACTCACACCAAGTTTGAATCCTTTACTTATTTAGGCAACTCTTTTTTTTTGTTTTTGTTTTGATTGATTTCTAGGGTTAGGTTTTTTGAGGGTAGATGGAGGGGGGGGGGGGGGGTTACTGCTTGTATTGCGGATGAAGCTGCTGTTTTGAAAGGTCTCGTTTTATAAAAAAGCAGCTCAAATTTACAAAAAAAGAAAAAATAAAAAAAGATTATTCACTTAGTGTGTAATTTAATGTAATTAGCAGTAGCAGTATTTACAAATTTAATTTTTTATTCAATTAATGGTAGCTATACTAATGCTATAAGGAGGGTCATATAAAAAATCAACAAAGGTTTTTAAAGTATGATTTTGGGGCATAAAAGGAGAAATTATCACATTTTACTAATAATAAATTTAGATTAAGAGAAATTTCTTGAATTACGTAATACTAGTATTATATTTTTACTTTTTCATAAATAATTGTTCACATTCACCGTATAAAAAAAAAATACTACAATAATTAACCTTTTTACATTGAAATTGTCCTTTTCGATTAAGAAAAACAAAAGATACAAAAAAATTTTAATTTTGTGTAAAAAAAAAAAGAATTGCAAGAGCACTAATAACTAGGAGACATCTCCATTATAGTACTTATATAATGCTCCAAAATTATATAATATTTTATACAATATTTCTTCCATTATATATTTTTTATTTTTTTTAATGTCTTAAAATTATTTTTTTATTTTTTATATATTAAAAATCACTAAACATAAAATTAAAAAAAAAATAAAAACTTAATGTTAAACATATCAAAATCAATGTTTTTTCTTAAATTTTATGAAAGTCAATTTAAAAAATGTACTTATCTTGCTTGCAAATAGGAAGAAGTAAAATTGAAAGTGAAAAATGAAAAATCTTTAATTATTTAAAAAATAATGAATAATAGGAAAAAGAGGGAAAAAGGAAAACTTGCTATTTGGTAATATAGCCCAGCCAGCCAGCCAGCCGGCCAGTGGGAGAAATACAAAACGGCCCAAACGACTCACTCAACGTTTCTTTGGCACTTGAAAATTCCTGGGTCTCCTCCCTCTGGCCTCTGCTGCCTGTCTCCACCATCACCGTCACGATGCCAAGCCACCACCATCACCACCACCACCGCTCCACTCCTTTGCTCTCCTCCTCCACATCAGCCTCCTCCACCACCCAATCCTTCCTTTCCAAGCTCCTCCTCCTCCTAACGATCCTCCCTCTGTCTTTGGCTGCCTTAGGCTTCGTTCTCCAGTGGCGCGGAGGGGGTGTATCCGATCCCACCATCGCCACATCCTCCACCACTTCCCGATGGGCACCACGTGGGTCCCACCACGAGATCTTCCCTGGCATGGAGACTTTCTCATCTCTCTCCCCTAAATCCCATTCTTCTTCTGATTGCATCAATCTCGGTCGTAGCTCTTCCCCTTCTTTCCCTTACTACGGGGACTGGAAATTTGGTTTTGAATCTAATTTAAAACCAAGGGTATGCCTTTTTTTCTTCTTCTTTTTTGTTAGGGAATGATCTGGACCTGGTCCCGTTGAATTCTCCAATATTGGCTTTGATCCGTATCAATGTTTTGGATTTTTGGTCCAAATTTTTGTTATTCAATTAATCGAGTTACAAATTTTTATCTTTCTCCCAATGACCCTTGTTTATAACCGTCAGCTGTGTTGCTTCTCACATATCAGATTTGTATTACAACAAGTACATCAGCTGGCTTGGAGCAGATTTTGCCATGGATGTTTTATCATAAGGTTATTGGAGTTGCAACCTTTTTCCTCTTTGTGGAAGGGCATGCTGCATCTCCCAAAGTTTCTAGTGTTTTGGAATCTATTCCCGTGAGTTTATGAAGCCTTTGGCTTTTCCTAATTTAGTTTTGCTCTGTTTTTTCTATCTATAAGTAGAACTGTTCCACCTGATTGACCTATGGCTGTTGTTGATCCGAATTGCTTATAGCATAAGTTTTATGTTGTTGCTTTTCAGGGAGTAAAAGTTATATACAGAACAAAAGAGCTTGAGGAGCAGCAGGCTAAAAGGTCAATTAGCTTTTCTCGTTTGATGATTGTAATACATCTACTGGATCCTAAAGCTAAAGTGACAGCATGGTTTTCTAGCTTTTTTTAACTAGTAGTTTAGCTAAATGTGGAGGCTACTGGTGATAAATTGTCTTTATTTTGCCTTTATTTCTTGCTTTCTTTCATTATATTTGTGCACATGGGTTTACCGCATCATCTGTTTCTTTTCCAGTTCTCTAGGGACAAGTCCCTTATTTTTGGTCAAAATGGTTTATGTTTTGTAACTTTATTGCCAGATTTTCTTTACTTTATCTTCATTCTTTTGGCATTTTTATGTGGTTATCAGCCGGATCTGGAATGAAACATGGCTTTCAAGTTTCTTTTACAAGCCTTGCAATTATGAGTTATTTGTGAAGCAGTCTCTCAATATGGAAATGGCCATTGTCATGGCAAGGGTATGCTGTATCAATGGAAATACTTTGTTATTTGTGATCACTAGCACAGTAGTCTTGACCTTATTCTGATAAGTTTATTCTTTTGATTCTAAAAATATAAGGATGCTGGAATGGACTGGATACTTCATCTTGACACTGATGAGTTAATACATCCAGCTGGTGCAAGAGAATATTCTTTGAGGCAGTTGTTGCTTGATGTGCCTAGCAATGTCGATATGGTCATATTTCCAAATTATGTGAGTGGCATTATATAAGTAGTAAGAAAGGATATTAATATTGGAACTTGGAAGAGGTGGCTATGATAGTATATCTTGTTATTCATTTGGAATCTTGGCCTGTGATGTTTGATAGTGGAATTTTTCTTCCTTTTGTTTAGGAGAGCAGTGTTGAACGAGATGATATCAAGGATCCTTTTAGCGAGGTAAATTTTCCTTGTCCATTTTCCTTGCTTTTCATTAGTTCAGTAAATTGAATGGCTGAAGTTAGGCTTTGGAGTTTTGCACGTGGCTTACTTTTCTATCAATGCAAACAGGTATCAATGTTCAAGAAGAACTATGACCATCTTCCAAAGGACACATATTTTGGCATGTATAAAGAATCAACTCGTAGTAATCCAAACTATTTCTTGACTTATGGGAATGGGAAAGCTGCTGCTCGTATTCAGGATCATCTTCGTCCAAATGGTGCTCACAGATGGCACAATTATATGAAAACTCCACAGTATGGTGACTCTGTGTACTCATAGAATCAGATAACCTGACACAATATGAGAATCACACATGCATATCTCATAAATTCTTGTGTAATTCAATATACTTGCATCTCGGGGTGAAGGGTGGGGGAGGTAAGGGGTGGTTGGGGCCTTGAGGTTGGGGATGGGGGGCATCTTGATCATTGATAATGAGAGCAAGTTTTATGTTGGCATCATATCATGGATAAGCATGTTATATTTGACTACTTGAGAAATAACATTTGCTTATATTCAGATCAGTTTCTGTCTGTTGGTACATACAAATGGCAATTCTGAACATAATTATACTTGGTACAATTTTTTTTTAAAGTGAAATCAAATTGGAGGAGGCTGCTGTTCTACACTACACATATGCCAAATTTTCAGACCTAACATCTAGACGTGATCGGTGTGGCTGCAAACCTACCAAGGAAGACGTCAAAAGATGCTTCATGTTGGAATTTGATAGAGCTGTAAGTTTAGCACCTTCTGTTATTCTCTATTTTGGTATATTTACCATGCTATTCATGAGTTGTAGTAAGTATTGGAATATGGGAAATGCAACAAACTATAAAGGCAGTAAACCTCGGGGATATGAATTATGAACTAGATATTTACCACTGTGAAATAAGGACTTTTGGTATTATGTTCTATTTTTTATTTTATTTTATTTTATTTTTTGAGAAATTAGGAGATCCTAAATTAAAGGGGAAGACTATTAAGGACATGGATCTAGGTTGCTAGAAGCATTGATAAAGTCCCAAGCAATTCATAAGGCAATATGATGATGCATCTGTTTTGCGGTTAATGTTCCTGTGAGTTGGTGACTGCCAAGTGAGTATAATGTGGCATGAGTCTGCACCATCTTGGCTCTTGATTTAAAAAATCCTATGTTGCCCAGCTGTTTCCTCTTTTTCCATCATTCTTAGAGCATGGACCAGATGTTGTGGGGTGAATTTTGTGGTGTATGTGGTTGGATTGCTCTCTGATGTATAGTTGTGCTTAGTATGATTGCTTGTTTTGGATATCATTTCCTTCTAACTGTTGTGTCATTGTCTATTCAAATGTTATTTGTTGCAGGCATTTATAATTGCTTCAACTGCAACAGAGGAAGAGATGCTTAACTGGTATATAGTTGAATGCAGGGTGTTTTCTTTTTTTTTTTTTTGGGGGGGGGGGGGGACTTGAATCTAGTGTGTGTCTGATGTAGAACTATTGGCTTCTGGTTTTTGTAGGTACCGTGAACATGTTGTATGGGGTGAAAAAGACCTAAGACTAAAACTCCTGAGAAAGGGGATTTTAACTCGCATATATGCTCCAATGGTAAGGACAGTTATTAGCAATTTTGAAAATAAGAAATCACAGGAAATTAAAACTGCTTTTATAAGCATTCATCTTAGAATTCAGTTTGAAATGATTTATGAGTAGTAAGGAGTAGGAACTTATCAGCCATGATACTTAACTTGAATGGATGTGCTAGCATATATAGGTTCTGGTGCAGTGCTGGAAGGGTATCAAGGTGATTGAGGGTAGTTACTTGTTAAAATTAAAAAGAGCAGAAATTCAAAAATTTTATAAGTGGCTGACTCGTCTAGGAAATGCATGGAATTTTGGACCTTTAGATTCTTTTTACAGATCAATAATATGTTTTACAAGTTGTATTTGTACTTTGATAATGCGCTTCTCAAATTTCTCTGCCTTGACTTATCCTCTTCTCCTCTTCCTATTAATGTTCTGTCTTTTGCTGTCTCAGGCCATAATACAAGGTTTGAGGGAGTCTGGCGTCTTCACCTCTGTTATTGAAACTGCCCCCACTACTCTTTCAAGGGACATGTTTTTAGCATCCATTGATAGTAGTAACTCATCGAGAGCTGTTCCTTCTGTGTCTTTGGCTTCAAGAAAGATTGGTAGAAGCAGAGAGCACCAAGCATCTACCAGGAAGGTGCTGGAAATTGAAGCTAGTGCAGCTCATGAAGCAGCTGTTCCACCATTGTCACCCCCAGTATGGAACATGACCACCTCCATTGATGGTGTGAATGCTTTTACTTAAAGCAATTTTCATCTTGTGGTCTATACTAACAGAGAGATTTCTGCTATACAACTTGATGTTGAGGCAAGAAATCTGGTATTGTAACATTTTTCTGTAGATGCCACAGTATTGACATTCGAGGTTGTCATTATTATTTCTTAGTCATTTGTAGTGAATGTAAATTTCAATTTTATGTTTTTTTTAAATGTTGTTACAAGATTAAAGTATTAACTAAATAATAGTTTACCTTTAAAAAATACCATATGATATCACTACGATAGGATGATAACTGTTCATATTAAAATCGATTCAGTTTTTTTCATATATGATATAATATTATGAAAATTTAAAATTTAATTCAAATACGAATCGAACTTTCATTTTATTCGAATTGAATTAAATTTTATCAGTTTGATTTATTGGTTTTTAATTTTTATATATTATTTTAATATAAAATTTTAATATATTTAAGTAAATTTTGATATAAATTTATTATTTTTATTTTATAAAAATTAAAAATATATATAAAAATTAAAAAAAGTATTTAATTTTATTTGGTTTGATTTTTTTTTTTTTTTATATCTTTTAATCTAAAATTTAATTCAAATTTATTATGTATATATTTAATATTTAAATTTTATTTAAATTGAACAAAAAAACAATTAAATCAAACCAAATCAAAAATTATAATTTCGAATTGGTTTTTAAATTTTTTTATTTTTGTCACCACTGCACAATGGAGTTTATCATATATATAAATAAATGATTTTATTATTAATTGATAAGACATTTGATCTCCAATTCAATTTTGTTTGGCTAATAAAACTGAACTCGTATTTATTTTAATATTTTTATTTCTCTTGTTATTTATTTCAGTACTCTCTACCACTCAATTGATTTTATTTTTTAAGTGAAATTTGTTTACTTTACTACACTCTAATTCATTTTTTGTTTTCAAAATATATATTTTTTGTATATAAAATTCTCACAATGGAAGTTTAATTTTCAAATCAATAATCAAATTAATGAAAAAAAAAATTCCCAAACAAAAAGGAACAATCATCAAATAATTAATTGTCAAATTTCTTTGCTAAAAAAAAAACCGTTATAATGGCAATAATTATTTTTCTTCTTTTCCTAATTTCTTTTTTTATAATAAAAGAAAAACAAATATGGAAAATACGACTTCCTGTTGCATATCGTAAAATCCTCTCTCCATCGGCCTCTCCACGCCGCCGTCGCTAAAGAAGGCTCCGGGCACGAAGCTGTTGAACCCGGTTTGCTCTCTCTCTCTCTCTCTCTCTTGTAAATTACTAAGAAAGCTACATATTTCTGTTTTACTCTTACTCTCAGAGGGATTGCTTTATGTATGGTATTTCATTATTGCTTGTTGCCCCAAAACACAATTTCTAGGGTTTTGTTTTTGTGATACTGGGTTCACAATTAAGCCGCAAATTTTGGATTTTTTTTTGCTTTTTTCTTTTTTTTTTTGTAAGCTATATTGATGGATATTTGGGATGTGAAGGATAAGAGTTAATTAGGTTATGTAATTAGTATTCTTGATGCAATATGCAATGAGTAACTTTGTACAGTTGGCAATGCCCAACGCTTCCATTTTCTTTATTTTAGTTTAATTGACATCGGCTCAAACAAGTTAAGCTTTAGCATTTGTTTTTCTTTATTTCAGTGGCAGTTTTTTTTGGTAAGGAGCAAAAGAAGACAAAGCAGATCATGGAGGATAAGCTTATAAACTCTGTACACTCCACAGTTTTCAAAGAATCGGATTCCCTTGAAGGGAAGTGCACTAAAATTGAGGGTTACGACTTCAATCAGGGTATAAACTACTCCAAGCTTCTCAAATCCATGCTTTCCACTGGATTTCAAGCTTCTAATCTTGGAGAAGCTATGGAAATTGTCAATGAGATGGTTGGTTTCATTTATTTAGATTTCTTTTTCCTTTTTTCTCGTTTTACTATTCAGTTTTTGTTAGCTTAATTCATATATATATATTGTTGATCGAATTGAAGCTAGATTGGAGGCTTGCTGATGAGAGTATAAATGAGGACTGCAGTGAGGAGGAGAAGGATCCTGCCTACAGAGAATCTGTCAGATGCAAGGTCTTTTTGGGTTTTACATCAAATCTTATTTCCTCTGGTGTTCGAGATACTGTTCGTTATCTTACTGAGCATCACATGGTGAGTTACAGATCAGACCTTAAAATCAGACTTTCTTTTGTGTAGAATTGAGATGAAGCACAAAATGCAATGAGAAAAACGTAGCAGACTGGTTATAATCTACTGAATTTTGCCTACACAAGAAGTCTAAGAAGGAGACAAAGAAGAAAAGAAGGAAAGGGGATCTGAAAAAAGTTAAAAGGCTGGAAATTATTAAAATCAATATTACTCTTTGGCTTTCTTTTCGGGGAAGGGTTTCAAAATCTGTCATGGCATTCTTGATCTGGCATTCCTCTTCATCTAAGAACTGTTACTTTTAAAATGACTTTAGGTTGATGTAATAGTTACTACAACTGGTGGCATTGAAGAAGATCTTATAAAGTGCCTTGCACCAACATATAAAGGTGATTTTTCACTACCTGGTGCTCAGTTGCGTTCGAGAGGACTGAATCGCATTGGTAACTTGCTGGTTCCTAATGACAACTACTGTAAATTTGAGGATTGGATCCTCCCAATTTTTGATCAGATGTTGAAGGAACAACTTGAAGAGGTACTTCCACACGCACACATGCAGACCTTTTAGCATACCCTCTTGTTCATCTGACAAATTTGACCTTCATATTGTCTCATTGGGTTTGGGACCTTTTAGTTTTCTGTAAATAATGAAAAGAAGATTATTATCTCTAAATTATTGTGTATGGTAGATAATTCAGCTGATATTTATACTCTATTCCATTGATTTTGATTACCATTGGTAGATGTATCTCTTGTGTCTAGTGGTGTCTGCCATTCTGTTAATTTCCTCCTACCTCTTGTTTTTGGTTTTTACAGAATGTATTGTGGACTCCATCAAAGTTAATTGCACGCTTGGGAAAAGAAATAAATAATGAAAGTTCATACCTCTACTGGGCATACAAGGCAAGTGTCCTAACAGTTTAACTTAATGCTATGAGAATATAACCACTTTTTCACCTTCTCAATGATCATCAATAATAAATGCCATTCATTTACTATGCCCCATTGAGGTTGTATATGATACTAATAAGTTAGTTGTAGTTGTTTAATCTATTATGAAATATTACATTATTGCTGTGAAGATATTGTGTTACTGCTTGACTACCTTACTTTATCCATTCTACTGCAATGCTGTAAGATGTCTTGCCAAAGAATATCGTGAGATTATCTTGAACAAGTGATAATTTATTACTGAGGAGGCCCCCATTAATGAGTTTTCAAGCAATTGGAACATTATAGAACATGTTCAGATCATGTTTCTGAAGTTTCAGCATCTTGGTTTTGTAATTTTGTTGTATGCAATGCTATTTTCCAGAATGAAATTCATTTTTTCCATGTTTTACACAACAGCTCAGTTTTATTGTTTGTTTGTATTTTCCAGAACAAAATTCCTGTCTTCTGTCCAGGCTTGACAGATGGCTCTTTGGGGGATATGTTGTATTTTCATTCCTTTCGTAGCCCAGGTCTGATAATTGATGTAGTGCAAGGTAGGTGTTCTATGCTTCTTCTTCATTGCTTGCTGATTACTAATTGCTTGGGGATTGGGGTATAAAATATCTAAATAGGTTACTATTTGAACAGATATTAGGGCCATGAATAGTGAAGCAGTGCATGCAAGTCCCAGGAAAACAGGAATGATAATTCTAGGAGGTGGACTGCCAAAGCATCATATCTGTAATGCCAATATGATGCGTAATGGTGCTGATTATGCTGTTTACATAAATACAGCACAAGAGTTTGATGGGAGCGATTCTGGGGCCCGCCCTGATGAGGCTGTTTCATGGGGGAAAATACGAGGTTCTGCTAAAATGGTTAAGGTATGCCCTTGTGTTTCCTGTTGCATTTCAGCTTCTGTTTTCAGACAGATGCTCATTATAGATTGCATCTCAGACTTGTACGAATTGGGTGTTTCCTCTGCATACTTTCTTGGCTTCCACTTTCATTTTCATAAGTTTTCTTGCCCTAGTTCTTTTTCCTCAGAAGTGAAGAAATATATCATTTTGATTCCTGTCTCGTCTCATGATTGTATTGGACCAGGTACATTGTGATGCAACTATTGCTTTCCCTCTGCTGGTAGCAGAAACATTTGCTTCAAGGTGGAAAAATTTTGTTGCTTAGTACAATTTTTTGTCATAGTGCTGATTCAAGTAACATTTGTGTTAGAAATCCCTCGTATCATTGTGGTAGCATCCCAAGGAAGATGATACTATTATAAAAGGAGGACAATGTACATTGCTCTGCCATGGTAACCATGCAAAGGATTGGATAATTGTGTTTTCTTGTGGAGGTTGGCTAATTGTGAGAGTCTTTCTAGTTAATTAATTATTTGGATTGATTGTAGCTGAACTCGTGAACTTGCTGAGGCATCTCTATGCATTGTCTTTTAGCCAGAACAATTAATAAATCATTCTAAATGTTTTTTTTTTTTTTTTTGAAAGTGTATCAAACATAGTATATGGAATAATTACCGCATCAATTTTATAATCTTTCGAGTTAAACAATAATATTACTACCAAAGCTCACTAAAGTTAAATGATGGCTAACTAAAATAATTTTTTAGATATCTATAAAAGAAAAATGTGATCTTAGAATTTTTTAGATAGTTTATAGAAGCATTGTAAGAGCCAATAGAGAGTAGTTGCTTACATCTTGGTTATACCGGTATTGCTATTGATTGAACAGAGCAGGACAACGTTAACCCAATTAAGCTCCCATTATATGTGGCTTTTAAAATGATAGGAGAATTGAACTCTCTTAAACCGTTTTAGGTATATATATATATGTAGCATAGCGTTCTTTTTTCATGTTAAAGACAAATGTAGCCCCATCTTTACCTTTATCCTTTTGGAAATATTCCGTCAGCATTGAGCACCGTTGTGAAGAAAGGGAGCCCCTCAGGTGGAAGGGATTGGAGCTGTGGGCAGCTAAGGACCCACAATTCCTGAATAGACGTTTGGTGTTTTCCTTAAATCAAATTGCATGTTAAAGACTTTTCGTTCATGCTAGAGTTAAAATGAGAAACCACAAGGAAATTTTCATAATTCGGTTGAATCTTTTGCACGAGTTAATTATACAATTACATGAAACCAAGTAACTAGATGCTGCCTGGCTGCCTACACTTCCCTCTTGGGGCGGTTTCGTGTACGTGGAAGAACAGGTTCTTGCACTATGTCCTCCAAAGATATAACATCATCGCCATCATCATCATCATCGTCATCATCATCATCCTCTTCATCCGCTTCCCTTATTGCTTGACTTATAGTAAACTGCTCCACAAAACAATGAAATGTAAGATTAAGAATAGTGCTATAAGTAGCGTACATACTTAAAACAAGAAAAGCAGAAGCAAAAATTAAGACTGCTAGTAAGTATTACACCAAGACAAGAAGATTGATTTAAACGAATATCAACACAAAACCATTCCGCACTTCTATCAAACACCCAATGGGCATTACAAAACATATCCCTAAAACTTCCAATCCCCACAACCAACAAAATTGATTAAAAAATAACCAAGTTTTAAACAGTCCAAATAAGCCTTCCAAAATTGAAAATTTCCAAAGAAAAACGCCATAAAATCCCACATGATAACGAGGAAAAAAAAAACATGATTTTTAGATTCTTACATATTCGAGGAAGTCCTTGTCAAGCTTATCAGCAATCTTAATAGAAGTGAAGATGGTAACAGCCAGGAGAGATAGCGGGAAAGCCACGGCGAACACGTAGCTGCTGGTGTTGGGACCCGCACGTGTCACCACCGCCAACGCTCTTGTTTTACGCTGAGATACGTGGCTGGAGAATGCAACAGCCACCGGAGTTGGTACGTGGAGAGGCCTGAAGGTTGCAGGTGAGATCGGGGGATAGAGAGGGAGTGAGGGTGAGACTGAGCTGATGCTGGTGGTGATGAAGAGACTCGCCATGGCGCTACTTTACGGAATTTTGGAAAACATTCGGTGGCATTTTTATACGTTTTGATGTCAGCTAAGACGGTGTTTGGATTGTTATTAGTAGTACTGCATTACCATATTTGTAGAACCTAGATTAAATATGACCCAATAGAATTTGGATAATAAATTTGAGTTGGGAGATTGAAAAGAAAAAAATGATTTCTTAATTCCTTTTACAGAAGAATAAATGGCAATAAACGAATTAATTAGAGAATTATTATTAGTGCAGGTGACACAATCTCACTGAATTTCTAACTTGTTGATTAGAAGATTAATGTTTTAATCCCAATCAATTATCCTTTTTCTGAATATCACATATCTCACTGTCATGCTCATGTATATCGCATTGCCTGCTTTTTCTTTAATTTCCTTAAAAATCATTTTCAATTGCTACTTATTGGCCACTTGTATAATTAAGTAACCAATATTATATATAAAATTGCTATAAAAACAATTGGATCTCTACGTTTTCTAATTAAACTTGGTCTCCATAAAGCAAACAATATATATATTTATATATATGAATGATTTTTCAGATTTAAAATTAATTAAAAATACCTTTTATAATTTCGTATTTTATAAATAAAACATGAACTATTTAGCACACCAATTAAATTCTCTTTGAGTTAAATTAAAAGGTAATATTACTACTAAAGTTATACCATATACGATGACTAATATTACTACCTAAAGTTATATATAACTAACTAATAACATTTTTTTATTTTAAAAAAATAATATTTTTAGATATCTATAAGAAAAAAGATATTTTTTAAATAGATAAGATAATATAATAAAAACATTTAATATTATGCTTACCAGCCTATCAAATTTATGGGATTAATGTAATTTTATTTTGATATTGAACTTGGTGCTAATCTTAAAATACATATTATATCTTTTTTTTTTTTATAAAATAGTATTAATAAAATATTATCTTTATCTAATTTTATATCATAGATAGTGCTTATCAAAAAAACTATAGGAAGTTGTTCATTAATGGCTGATTGTTTTTTGTATAAATAGGGAGATTTATTCTTACTTTTTAGTTACACTTTTTTCTAAAAATGGCTGCACAAAATTTTATTAATGTTCTTATTGCTTTTTCTTTTATTATTGTTTTTTATTCAACCATCTGTTTTGCTGACTATCGTGCTCGACTAGTGCCATATAAATTTGCTCCTTATGTTTGTGATAGTGCAAGATTTGATTTGATGAATTTGACAATGTCTGAATTTGCTTATTGTGATAAAAGTCTTCCGTATGAAGTTAGAGCAAAAGATTTAGTTGATAGGATGACATTGCCCGAAAAAGTGAAACAAATGGGTGATAATGCTACTGGGGTATTACGAATAGGTTTGCCTGCGTATTTTTGGTGGTCTGAAGCTTTGCATGGTATTTCAGGCATTGGTATAGGCCCATATTTTAATGAGCTTGTTCCTGGTGCAACAAGCTTTCCTACTGTTATTCACACAACTGCAGCATTTAATCGAACGCTTTGGAAAATTCTTGGAAAGGTAGGAATATAATTCTATTATATATTATAGTTAAGCTTAACATTTTTTTTTTTTTCAATATCTATTCATCATTTACACAACTTGATTAATTTTGTAAGTGTTATTGTTATACAGGCTGTTTCAACAGAAGGGAGGGCAATGTTCAATTTGGGGAACACTGGATTAACCTATTGGAGTCCAGTGGTAAATCCCGTAAGGGACCCCAGGTGGGGAAGGATCACTGAGACATCTGGAGAAGATCCTTTTGTATCAGGTGTTTATGGAGCTAATTATGTAAGAGGTTTGCAAGATGTTGAAGGACAAGAACAAACAAACAATACTGGCTCTAGACCTCTTAAGGTTTCAGCATGTTGCAAACATTACGCTGCTTATGATGTTGATAACTGGCATGGTGTTAATCGAAAGAGTTTTGATGCAAAGGTAATTTCAGTATCATATTGAAAAGCTAAAAAAATTAATAAACCTAATTTTACATTTAAATTTATATATGGTTTACCTCCTTTTTCTCAATGAAGGTCACCGAGCAAGATATGGTGGAAACTTTTCTTCGTCCATTTGAAATTTGTGTTAAAGATGGTGATGTAAGTAGTATAATGTGCTCCTATAATCGTGTCAATGGCATTCCAACTTGTGCTGATGCCGCTCTTTTGAAAGAAACAATCAGAAAAAAGTGGAAATTTAACGGGTATCTATCCAGTAAACTTACTTTTTTTTACATACATAAAAAATCTTAAGATAAATTTTATGTAGTTTGATTTTCTATCCTTTTTTTCAGATATATAGTTGCAGATTGTGATTCCGTTCTGGAGATGGTTAGAGGTCACCATTTTCTCAATGATACAGCGGAAGATGCCGTGGCACAGGCACTAAAAGCAGGCAAGTCGATCGCTAATATATATATAGTAGCTAATAATGCATTGTTAACATAGACTAAAGAAGATTGTCTTTCATGCATGCTACAGGCTTAGATCTGGATTGTGGAGCCTATTACCCTAATCATCTTGAAAGTTCCGTCAGGCAAGGAAAAGTTAGGGAGGAAGAAATTGATACATCTTTAAAGAACCTCTATGTGGTACTAATGAGGCTTGGCTTCTTTGATGGAAGTTTTCTGACACTTGGAAAAAGGGATATATGTTCCCAAGAACACATCGAATTGGCAGCAGAAGCAGCTAGGCAAGGAGCCGTACTTCTCAAGAATGATGCAACTTTGCCATTGAACACTGATGCAGTTAAGACCCTGGCAGTAATCGGGCCAAATGCTAATGCTACGGGAGCGATGCTCGGAAATTATGCTGGTTGTAATTATATATATGTTTGAGTTACAGTACTTTTGATTGTCATTTTAGTATTCAGTTCATCATTTTACAACAGGCTTTTACTCAAAAAAAATATGTTGTTTTCTTCCATTATTGCAGGTGTCCCTTGCCGATATGTTTCTCCACTTAGTGCCTTGTCTGCCTTTGGAGAAGTGATATACGAAATGGGTTGTGAAGGAGTCAAATGCCCGAATGATAAGTTAATTTCAAAAGCGCAGGAAGCAGCTAAACGAGCAGATGCAACTATACTTGTGATGGGTACAGATTTATCAATTGAGCATGAGGACAGGGATAGAGAGGATCTCCTTCTTCCTAGTTATCAAAAAGAGTTGATCATCAAAGTTGCCGAAGCCTCCAATGGACCAGTAGTTCTTGTAATCATGTCTGCAGGTGGGGTTGATATCTCATTTGCTAAGAATAATACTAAAATCAAAGGAATCTTGTGGTTTGGACATCCTGGTCAGGAAGGTGGCCGTGGCATTGCAGATGTTGTTTTCGGAAAATACAATCCTGGTACAGTCAATTTAAAGCTTGGTTTTCACATACACAAAATAACTTGCAATTTAATATGAGTATTTAACTTGAATTTTTTTTCTATCAGGTGGAAGACTACCCATTACATGGTATGAAAATGATTATGTGAGTAAGATGCCCATGACATCCATGCAATTACGTCCAGTTGATAGCTTAGGTTATCCAGGAAGAACATACAAATTCTTCAATGGGTCAACGGTATATCCTTTTGGATTTGGACTAAGCTACACAAGCTTTAGCTATAAGTTGGCATCCACAAATATATCTCTCCCTGTCAAACTGAACAGGCTCCAACACTGTCGCAACGTGGAGTACACAGACAAATCGTTGGAGCAATCGTCATGTCCTGCTGTTTTGGTTGATGATTTAACATGTGAAAATGAAATAGTGTTTGAGGTTGAAGTGCAGAATGTGGGAGACAAAGATGGCAATGAAGTTGTAATGGTATACTCAAAGCCTCCGGAGGGAATTGTTAGAAGTCATATTAAACAAGTAGTTGGATTTGAAAGAGTTTTTGTTGCTGCAAAACAGAGCCAGAAGGTTAAGTTTGCGCTTAATGCTTGCGACAGCTTGAGAATTGTGGACGACAAGGGTTACATACTTTTGCCATCTGGGTTGCACAAAATTATATTGGGAACCGAATCAATTGATGTAAATGTCAGCTATGTTAGGTAGATAAATAGCCAAATTATTCTTTTGTTAAACTAAATTTAGGTCCATGTTAATTTTTTTTGAATAAATAAATTCGGTCAATCGTTGAAGGCATAATTTTTCTTACTTTTTGTATCTAGTTATGCAACTACAATATTTAGACAGCAATTAACCAACTAATATTCCCAAAACTCGTTTATATTTAATAAAGTGGTTCTATTTGGATTCTGTGAAATGTGTCAAACTTGATGATATGTAACAACATTAAAAGAGACAGGCTTAGAAATCAAGGAAAATGAAGTTGATGAATTGAGATCAGAACACTAGTGTTAATTAAGCTGCAACATCAAATTTGATCTAAACCTCAATGAAGATTAATGAGATGATTTTTTTCATGGAACAACTTATTTTCTTATGCTCAAATTTGATGTCCAAAAATATTTATCAAAATATCAATTGAGACTTAAAATTTATTAGCAATTCTTATCTCTTATTTGACTTGAGGTAAAAAAAATAATAATAATAAAAAGTCAAATCTTGTATTCTATTATAAAATCTTTCACATGTACAAAAAAGTAATCATAAAACTTGCAGTCAAATAACATCATTAGTTAGCACAAGGCACCATGACATTTGTCTCTTGAATTAGTGGCCTTGGAAATGAAATATGGGAGAGATTGTGGGTTTAAGGTTAATTTTCATTTTCTGTATCTATTATCTCCACGGTTTTTTATGCATGACGCATTTCCAAAACACCCAAAAATGTTCCATTCACCAACTTCTTCTGATCTTGGAAATATAAATGAGCCTAGTTAACCCAATCATCATATCTGTTTCATCACACTCCTTTTCACATCTACCCGAGTACTGAAAATACAACATGTTGCATCTTTTTATTAGTCTAGTTGAGGACCATCTTCAAGTATATCTAAAGTTATTTTTAAGTGATATGAAATTTTAAAAATTTACTACATATGGACAATTTTCTTTTCTATATACTAGACGTAATCATGCGTGTTCAATGCTCCAACACAAAAACTAAACAAACTAGCGTAGCAACAATTTTGCAAGTTCCCAATCCAATCGAGGGATTAAGAATGCGAGAAGCATGCATAATAATAACAAAATATATAGCACTGCTGTAGAACCAGTAAATTAATAACAAAATCGCACAGCTATAGGCATATCTTGCTCATGGACCAAAACAAAGATGTCAATATCGAACAAAGGTAGTTGTATAACTCCCCACACAATTCTAAAACCCAGGAGAAGGTTCACTATTATCTGTTATGCTGTTCAATGAATTGCATAAAATGAAGTAAAATGAAATAAATGACTTCAAGGCTGGATGGACACAGAATCTCATAATATCCAGGACACAAAATTTAGTCAGTAGCATTGGCTACTCAAGCACAAAGCTAACCTTCTTTGTTAGGTTTCCCACTCCTCCAGCAATGACTTGTCAAATTATCATCCCGTTGTAACCTGGAGCTTTCATAACGAGGTATATACTGGTGAGAACCTTCCCTCTTGCGGGAACCACTGTGCCATGCTCCCCCATTGCTGCTAGTTCTTCTCAAGTCCAACTTTCTTGACCCAATGTTATGATTCTCCCTTGGTTTCCAAACCCGTGATTTTCTTTTTCTCCCACAATATCCCCAACCCTGATCATTTGGAGCTCCACTGTGTTGAGCAAAGCTACGATCCCATGAATTATACCCATTAGACAACTTCTTAGAATCCTGCTGATTCCTTCCCCAAGAATTACGTTTGAAGTCTCCCCATCCACCATCCTTCTTAGAACCAATGACTTGCCAGCTATGACCCCAGGAATTGTTGCCAGCATTCCAATCCCTTGTGCCATAATCTCCCCACGAGTTGTGCCTTCCACTTTGATTCCCCCAATTAATGCTATTGTCCCAAGGATTATTTCCATTACTACTTAAATTCCTTGAGTTATCAACTTTACTGACTGACCGGCCCCAGCCATTGAGATCATTTAAACCTTCAATTACCTGAATATCACTTTTACATTCCCAGGGATTATCAACCTTAGAAGGGTTTGTGTTACGCCCTTCTGAGGGAGGAGATGAAAGGTTCCTTGCCACTTTGTTTTCTCCATCATTGGGAGCAAAGCATTCTTGTTCTAAGTCCCTAATTAATTCAGGATCAATGTAAGGGTTCCAATTTATTTCATCAATATAAGAACTTGGATCAGGAGCAGAAATGTCACAGGAGAAGCCATTGATCTCTGCCCAATAGCGCTTTTTTGCATTTTGAAATGCTTCTTCTCCAGCTGAGTCATCCCAATCAAGCACATTATCACTGTAGCAGATGACCCTGGCATCAACAATCTTCCGCCATGATATTCTTCCAACTAAAGTGCAGAATTTCTTTTCCCACAAAGGCACACCATCATTACAATACTCTACGAGGAGAAAAATATAATTAGAAAAGAATCACACACCTTGCAAACATAATACAGACAATAATGAGAACGGTAAATACACATGTCTAACATTTTGATAGGTAAATATAGCCATTAACAGAACAATAAAGAAATTATTCAAAACACATCAATGGAAAATAGGTGACAAATAAGATCTGCTTTTTAATTTAAATGCTTGGGAGTTGAAAAATAACCATTTGTTGAAAACCAAAACCTTAATCATGTAAAGTTTTTGTACAAATCATCATTTTGCAATTGGTAACTTTAGTCTTAAAATTCAGCATTCACTATTAGATAAAAACCACTTAACATATTCAGTAACAGAAGTGTATTTATTTATTATAACTCAAGCAGTTGATACCACCCAGGATCACCACTACAATATCTATTTCTGATCATCCCAAAACATACAAACATACAAACACACACACACACATATGTTTTTGTGTGTGTGTGTGTGTGTGTATTCATTTGTGATTACTTGAATAAACAAGTGTTAATTCTTAGACAATGTAGATAGTTTGTTAGCAGAAAGGAAAAGTTAAAACATGGAACTACAACAGAATTTTATTAATAAATACACTAAAGATGGTATTTTAAGTTAAAATCAAACTAGCAATTACTGATAAATTGGAAATATCATGTAAATCATTTATCATAACTTTTAATTCCAATACACTTAAAAAAAATATTTATGGTTTTATGCAAAAAGCCAAGAAAACACCTAATTGTTAAGCACAGGAACTTAGTTTTCTTTTCCATCTACATTGTGCATTCATCAATTTTTTTCCCTCATTCTTTCCTTATTCTAAAGATGCTGTAACAACTGTGTACTATCTCCAAATCCAAACAAGTGTAAGAAATTCAGATAAAAACCCCACAAGTGAATGTAAGATGGGGAGATATGAAGTAAAACCAACAGGAATTTTAGAGAAGCCAACAATTGTAGAAAAGCAAATTCACAGAAAAAAGGATTGAAAATATAATATGCATAGAAGGAACTATAAAAAAGAAAAGTTAAAACAGTAGAAGTAGTACCAGAAAGAGAGGGTTCAGGGTCATGATAGCAAGAAGGATATTTAGGAGGTCTACGTAGGGGGTAAAATCTTAGTTGATTTCTCCAATTGCCCATCTCTCCTCCAAAAAGTATGGCTTTAATTAAGGGGCAGAGAAAACAAAAAAAGAAGCACAAGACAAGCTACTTTACGAAAAGAGGACAGCAGCTGCAAAACCGAAAGGGTTGCGTGTGGAACAGAGATTTTGTTGACAAGAAAAAGAGAAGAGCCAAACAACACCCATTGGTAAAACTGAGAGATGAGGAGATAGTTTGCAGTTGGAGGCAGGAATTTGGCCTAAAAGATGCGATTGGCGATTGCAATTTATAGACTGTCTGCTTTGTGGTGATGTTAGGGTTTTTTTTTTTTTGGTTAAATTCCTTATTGATGAAGGTAGGGGTGATACTGTTTAAATGTAATGAGATTTGATTTGATTTTTTTTTTATATATATTATATAATATTATAAATTTTTAAATTTTAATTTTAATTTGAGTTAAATTTTATTAATTTGATTAAATTTAATTAACTGATTTTTGAAATTTATTTATATATTATTTTAATATAAAGTAATAATATATTTAAGTAAATTTTTATATAAAATTGTTATTTTTATTTTATAAAAATTTAAAATATATATAAATTAATATATATAATTTACTGTAATTTTATTTAATTTTTTATTTTTAATATAAAATTTGATTCAAATTTAATATATATATATATATATATTTAATATTTAAATTTAATTTGAATCTAATCTAACATTTTAATTTCAAACTAATCTTTGATTTTCTTAATTTATGTTATCACTTTTAAATAAAATCTACTAATAAAAAAGTTTTTGAACTATTCCAAACCAATAGATTAGAATTTATTAAGAGACTAGAAATAGTAAAAAGAATAACAGTTTCTTCACTTGCCAATCATAGGAAAATCCAATTAAATTAGTCATAGTGTAACGATAAGAAAAAGAAATAAACAAAAAAAAATGGAGAAGGCATATTTTATCAAGATTTAAAAGCTTTACTAACTGCATTCAACTGTACAAACAGTTTTTGTTCAGCGATATCAATTCTTTAGAAGATGTTAAAACCTTCTGAAGAAGTGCGTTTAGTGAGTCGCTTCTGCTCAGAATCTTCTTCACTTCATCTGCTAATCCTACAATCGTATCGTTTTGGAAACGAGAGGCGTGGTCCTTGAATAAGTTATACCGTGTTTGACTTGGATCATGCCTGTAACTTGCTCGTAGGTGTTCACGAGTCTACTCAAATCAGATTTAGATCAAACTCATATTTAATATTAATATTTATATATTTATTTTATTTTATTTTATTTGAAATTCAAATCAGATCCAAATTAAAAAAATAACTTATAAATATATTTATTAAATTTAATTTATATAATAAAAATTAAAAAATATGATCAAATTAAATTTAATAAAATTATATTTAATTCATATACAAATAAATTAACAATAAAAATTATATAAAATAATAATTAAATTTAATAAAATATATATCATTTTTATTTTTAATTTTTATATACATATGACTTAATTTATATATAATTTACATATATATAAAAATAAAAAATTTATATATATGTAAATTCAAGTCACACTCAAATTTTAAATTTTTTTTCTAAGACTCAATTTAAAATTTAAACATATCTAAAAATTATATTTAAACTTATTTAACAAATTTTTTTTCGTTAAAATGTTTTTAAAACCAAGACAAACTTTCGAATTTGATCGATAACCCATCGCTTGAAGAGGTCTACTCACAAACCACAGGACCCATGGTACTGTATGAAAAAGCAGAAACGTAGTTATCTTTCTCCACCTTCATACAAAACCTTTCTTTTATCATAGACAGAGGAGGGGTCCTGGTTCCATCAGCTCTTTCCAAGTCCTTCCAAGTTGTTTCCAATACTTTCCGCCTGAAAATATTAACAACTCTCAATATCCTAATCAAAAACATTTCTAAGTAGTACCTGCATACAAATTTTATTTTGCATGAACCACCAGCAAGTGCAGAAAACTCTCCACGCTCTAAGATAGTTCACTCTTGGCCCAAAATAAAAGCAAGGCTGTTTGTAACATTCTAATTATGGACAGGTTCTTTATAAATTACCTTTCCAGCTCTAGCAGCATCCAGTATCATGTGGACATGACGTTTTGCTTTGAAGTGAAATCCATGGTGCAACATCCTTAGACAGACATGCTCAAACTCATCCCACCTCTTCTGTCGATCACATACATCTAACATAATATTAAATGTATAACTATCAGGTATCACTCGATGCCAATAATCAGATTTACTGCTGATTTGATACGCATCTTCTGACGTCTTCCGGAATAGATCTTTTGCTTGATCAAATAATCCATGATCCAGATAAGCTTTTAACATGATATTTTAAGTGAAAAGATTTGGAGAGCAAAAGTTCTGTATTTGTTTGAAGATGTATGCCCCGTTTTCAATGTTTTCAGAGTCTAGACATGCTTGAATTTAAGTTACAACCAGAGGTTTATTAGCAACCTTGCATATTTCTCAATCTGTAAAAGACAGAAAGCTAATGTGCTAGCAAATGTTATAGTCGAGTGACAGATATTACCTTAACAGTTTCTTGCGTGTTCATTGTGGGTAGTTTAAAGGCTTGAAGCTCATTGATACAAGAAATAGAGTTCACAAACTTCAATTCTGCATACTTCACAACCCATATACAGCATTATATCACAACAAACAGAAACCTCGTTAGTGCACACTGATTATCCTGAAGAATAGAATTTCAAAGACTTCATCTCAGGATTAAGTAAAAACTTCTACTGTTTCTCAAAAGTCCTACTATCATGCTCTAGTAAGATACATGATGGCAACACTTTCTAAAGCTATCAAAACCAGAACCCTTCTTCCTCTGCCACAGAAACCTCTCCAATTAGCTATTAGAATTAAGAATCACCAGACATGCCACATACACGATTCAAAGATTAGATATACCATCTGAATATAATTTTTCTCTCTAAAATTCTCCGATGTAAGAATTCTTCCTCAAGCTTTTAGAAATATATTTCAGGATCTGGCAACATTTTAAATATCCTTTTCAGCTCATCTAAACTTCTGGCATATTTTAAGTTGGATTTGTAGCAATCAGATCTGGACTATGTTACCAACCAATCCTGACTTATTTAAACAGTAAATTTCTCCAGGCTCCTAATAAATATTAGCTGAAATTGATTCGAATATTAACAAGCACAAAAAGAACAAATGTACTAAATAAATTGAGCATAAAAATCAAATACCTGTATCAGTGCTTCCTGGCACCTTCCAGCACTACAAAGGCAGTGAACAAGGTTGTAATAAAGAGCAGCAGAACCTACAATTCCATGTTTTTCCATACCTTGAACAGCCAATACAGCCTCATGTGTCTTACCTTCCTTCCAAAGGGTATTTACAAGAACTGAAAATAGCCAAAGTCAATTTCCAAAACATATATAGGGATAAGGTACATATTTACCACTCTACTTATGTAAGTGGTTCAAACTTACCACTAATCTGTCAACTGGTGCAATTTTACCACTATACAAATAAATTTGGAGCAAATTTACCAATATACTTCAAATTTTAGAGCACTTAAAGAATATTCAATAGAAAATTACTTAGAATTTTTTAAAAAACTTGATTAATTTAAATCCTGAATAATTTGGTATGTTGGAAGTAATTTGCAAGACGATGAAGATGTGAATTTTCAAAATTACTTAGAAATTTTTTAAAAACTTAATTAATTTAAATTTTCGTACAGAATAGAACTGCTGCTAAGGACATGGGCTTAGAAATAATAGAAAGTAGGGGGGCTGGGGGGGAAGGAAAATACCTGAGCCTGTGAGATTTAAAGCGCTCTTGCATTTGAAGCCACTCAATGACTTGAAGTACCTGCCTCCAGTTCCCCAGTTTACTCAACATTTGGATCACCCTTAATATACAATAATCTGGAAATTTTATTTTTGCACCCCGCATCATCTTAGAAAACATCCACTCAGGCATATCAATGTCTGCACCATTCAACGTGTTAAAAATGAACTCCTTCAAGATGAATGAGACTATAAAACTTGACCATATATATATAAATATATATATATATATATATATAGAAACTGGTAAAACAAGAAAAAGAAATGGATAATCCATGAAAAATGGCATTCGATAAGATATATTATATATATATATATATCCTAGGCACAACAAAAGAAAGTTGACAATCAACATTTCAGCAATAAGCACTAAAGGAAAAATGAGATTTGCTCGGCACGTTTTAACTTCAGATATCCGAACGCAAGATATTTTTTCTCCTATTAAAAGAAAAACTTAATAAATCCAAAACTGTCTTCACACAACTGCAACAAGTCTTAATAGCTCTACCCCTGTTTAAAAACTATCTTGCTCCATTTAAGCCTTTTGATCAATTCAAACGAACAAATGCTACTGTGGAGGAAAAATAGTCCAACAAAAATAAGTGAATTAGCAATATTAAAAATTTTTATAGATAAAAACAGAGGGTGTAGCTTACACCTCGCTGAGATTGTAAAAGATTTATAATTTCATATAAATAACATACCAAATCGACATAAGGAAACTGTAGATAAGAAAAAAGAGAGCTATAGAGTACATACGACTTTGCTAATTTTTGAACACTCGCCTCTATTTCCATCTTTGAAACTCGTGGTTTATCAACAACATCATTGGTTTCTTCAAAGTTCTTGAATGCAGCTCTTTCTATCTTCAAATCATCATCTTCACCTTCTTCAACAAATGCCTTGCTACTTCTAGTTCTTCTAACTCCATCACTATTTGTGTTTACTTCATTGTATTTAACATTTTTGGACATTTTTCTTCCTCAGAACGCTTCCCAAGCTTCATCAACTTTACATTATCTTCGTCACTTTTTGTTATTGAATCATATCTGCCTCTATTTCATATAAACAATGTTGCTATTGGAATAGAAAACACAAATAATATTTTGAATAGAAAGAAAAGACTAGCAGAAGAAATAGAAGAAAGATGGCACAAAGTACTTACAACTTTGCTATTTTTTTATTCTCTCTTCTATTTCCATTCCTGAAACTTGTGGCTCACTTACAAACATCATTGGATTCTTCAAAATTCTTGTATTCATCTCTCTCCGACATCAAATCTTCATCTTCACCTTTTACAAGCAATGCCTTTTTGCTTCTACTTCTAGCAGCTCCTTTACTCTTTATTTTTAATTCATTGTGTTCAACAATTTTGGACATCTTTTCTTGCTCCCCAAAGTTTCTACTTGAATCATCCTTTGACTTGCCTCTACTTAATTTTTCACTGGAATTGCCTCTATTCGATTTAAAGGATTGCTTCTTCTCCCTAACCGACTCCACAGTCTTCAAATACTCATCAAGAACCCACTTGGAGAAAAAGGCTTTAGGCTATAAACTGAAGCGTAAATTCCATTTCTTTCAAAACTAAAGATACCCATATGAGCACTCCCCATGGTCATAAAATAGAAGCCCTCACCTTTGGCTAGTTAGATGCCTCAATGCAACGCTGTTATATTAGGATTAAGCAGTAAAGCTCCGGGAGTTGATAGATAAAGATGCATATAGCATAAAACCAAATAGAGGTTAGATTCTCATGAAGCAAGAGTTGGAAGAAGAGTATGAGATATTTGGGTTGAAGGAAGAATCAACGGTTTGTGTTTAGTGATTCTGTTCTGTTGGGTAATGGCTAATGCCATCAACATTCGGAACTCAGAACTCAGAAGATTAGAAGACAGCCAGGCTGTGTTTCTCTTGAACTCTTGTTTTGGGCCAACAGTTCCAGTGGATCAAAATAGTCCATTACTACTGGATCTAACAACTTTAGTTTCAGGATCTGTTGGGCTCAATGTCGATCGGGTTCTTTTTTTATTGGATACAAATAGTTTTATATGATGTTATGTTCAATTTTACAAATCTCATTTTATTTGAAGGGGTTTTTCATTTCATGGATAGAGATCAAGGTAGTGAGCATAAATTTTCAATCTTTTCAATGTAAAAGAAAATATGAAATATCATTAAATTCTTTTCTTATTTCCAAAGTTATGAGTTAGATGAACAATCAAATCTTCTGATCTGTAATCATATTACTCTAACATGTGCATTAATTCAATCAATTTTTTTTATGCATGTACCCTAAAATAAAGTTAAAAGTTATAGGGTGGCAAAGGGAGTTGGTGCATTTTTCAACTTTATTATCCTTTTGCAAAAAGAAAGAGACATGAGCGACTCCATGATGGTGTTGGTTAATGCATATCGGGTGGAGCATGGATCAAGTAAAGCCTGAAGCTACATGTGCTGCTTGGTTCCCGCTTTCTATCCTATTCACTATGCACGGAAACTGTCTTCATAGACCAAGCAACAAGTATTAATGGTTCCTAGGCTAACTTCTTACTTACAAATAGATGGTTCTCAAAGTTTTCATAGTGGGGCTTGAAGCCTTATCATGAATTTTGTGAGACAATAATTACTGTTCTCTGCATTACATTTCGGCTTCTGCCTATTTTCTGACACAGTTTTTTCCCACATGAATCTCAAGCATCTCAAGGGTTGAAAACTTGAAATTGCCGACAGATTTTTTTTTTCTTCAATCTTCAATATTAATACACTCAACTCAAGCATAATAGTAATTACTCAACTTTTTTGCAGGTTATCCATTTAAACCCCTCATGCATCTCCCTTGGATGTTTCTCCAGGAAAGGTTGTCATAAATGATGGATGAGTTGTTTAATTCTCCTGCAGGCTTTAGCACTTCTTCCACCAGCCAAGGGAAAAACAAATGCTATATCTTGAAAGGAAAACATGCCATAATTGGTCACATGGGCATTAATTACCAAATTAGGCCAGTGGCTACTGATCATTGGTTTCAATAATGCAAAAGCTTCGCAAATTAAACACCATGTGAATGCGGTAAAAAGCCTAGTGATGGTCTTCTTTCACCATGCATGTTCTTAACATTTTTTAGATCTCCATTTGCCACTCCCTATAATTCTAGTGCTTACTAATAATAAGCTGTATTCAAGTTTGAGCTTCTGGCTAGTTTCTAATTGCATAATTGGAGGCGTATGCTATCCCGTCCTGTGATGGTAGACATATATATAATTGTCTATATGATTACAATTGAGAAAACTCGACTCATGTTTTAAATTCAAAGATGTGCATATGAAATTAGATATTTAAATAGCAGTCGAGATCATGTTTTCTGTCGCTTCGTGTTTATCACGTTTTTGGATATAACGGAAATCATTACGATCATTGTGGTCGTGAATTTTTTTTTTTTGCACAATTTATATAAGATGTAATAATTATAATTATAATTATAAAAACTCTTATTCAATGATTTTAAAAATAGTTTATGACACTATGTTTTTTATTTTTTAAAAAAATTATTCATAATTTTATTTAGATTATAAAAAAGCATTCATATTTGGTTTATTCACAAAAAAATTTATTAAATTTCATATAAAAATTATAAATTAATATATAACACAATCAAAATATAATATTTAATTTTAATTAATTTTTATCTAACTTATACAAAAAAATTTATCAAAAATTTTCATCTAAAATCTCTATATATATTATATTAAATTATTAATCCCTTAATTTTTTTAATTATAAACCTTCAATCTCTCTAATTAGATTTTATCTAAAAAAATTTCAAAAATTAAAAATTTTCAAACTTATATTTAATAAAATTTTCAAACCTATATTTTTAATTTTTTAGTTTTTAATCTTAGTAAGAGTAATAGATTATAAAATGCTAAATTTATTAAATAACTTAATCTTTTTGATACACTAATTGATATAAATTTTTTTGTCACAAATAACTTTTAATAATTATATAATAAATACAATCTTCAATAATTACACAAAAATAACAAGAATTAATCTAATATAAAAAAAATTGACAACAATAAAATATCAAAACAACAAAAAAAATATTAAAATTCAGATAAAAAATTATAAATTAATATATAACACAATCAAAATATAATATTTAATTTTAATTATTTTTCATCTAATTTATACAAAAAAATTTATCAAAATTTTTCATTTAAAATCTCTATATATATTATATTAAATTATTAATCTCTTATCTTTTTAATTATAAATTTTTAAAACTTCTAATTAAATTTTATCTAAAAAAATTACAAAAATTAATTACAAAATTAAATAAAAAATTCAACTTCCACCCCCCCCGACACCTCACTCCACCCCATCCAATCCCTCGTCACATGCTTGTCTTAATGCCCCTCAAATGTTTAATTGTAGCAAGACCACAGAACCATCTAGAATCAGCTTCTGTTCATTTGCTTCGCGTCCAAAGCTTTGTTTTTCAAAATTTTTTTTTTCATCTCTTATTTTCTCTCACATCTTTTCATAATTATCACTTACTCAGTATACATCGTTCGTCTCTCTCAAGTCTCAAACTCTCACAACAGATCATTTTATAAAAATTTTACAAAAAAAAAATAATTTAACTTTCTTTTCTTACCTTATTTGATCTTTAATATTGACTGAAAACTTGATGCTGATTTGAATTTAGGTGCCGAAATATTGAATGGTTGAAACATGAAATTTTATTTTTTTCTCGAACTATTAGATCCGTGTAGGAAAACGGAATAACGGTAATAACGATCCGTTATTACCGCTATTCTTCGTTAAGCCGTTATTTGCAGTTGTTACACTCCGTTTTTGTCGTGAATAAATTTTACAACTGTATTTTGTCCAATAATAGTGACGGGTGATGACACTACCACTATTTTACGACCGTTATTTCGCTTTTAAATCGTTATTTGAATATTTGTCTGAAACATTTAAAATAGATTTTTTATTTTCCCATTATACGAATTCTAACCGAAGAATAATTTTATGGAGAGAGATAGAATCAGAGACTGAGGGCCTGGGGGTTTTGGTTTTCTGAATTATTCTTGTTCTTTTTATAAAGGTTGAGAACGAGAATAAGAGACTATAAGTGATGGGTGACTATTCATTCTTTCAACATTTGGGCCCTTTCACAACTGTCATTCCCTTCCATAACTCAATGCTGCGTTGTTTTCTTATCCTGAAATCTCTCATCCTGTGCACAATGAGAACAATCAACAATCCCCCATCGCCCATTTCCCTCAATAATGGCTGAATGTATGTAATTTGTATATGTTGGTGTGCGCATATATATATATATATATAATGGTATTTCAGTACTGTACTACTTGTGCTTTCAAGTAATGGTCCATATTTTCCAATAATGAGTAATAACTTTACCTTGAGGGCAAAGGGAAAAGATATATTAAGGCAAAACCCAAGGTGTTAATCAGGACAATCTCTGTCAGTTGTTTCATATATAATTTCAAGCCAAAGTACCTGGAAATTGTTTGAAGTTTTATTCTAAAGTTTCAATACTAACTATTTTATGAATCAGGATCGAATCATCTTAATGAATTAAGAGGGAAAAATAACTGTTAACCAGCCGAAGATATCCATATCAAAACTTCCCAGACTCAAAAATTTGGTAGATGAATCCTCAAGCTTCAACGGCCTTGAAAACATATGTGCAATATGCAAATTACAATAAGAAATCCTAGTTACCCTCTCTATCAACTTCTCTTTTATAGACTAGCAAAATTGAGGTCTAATTAGATATTGTTGCTCTTGGACCCCAAAGTTAATTAGTGGAATGCTAGAATTCTGGCAAATAGCGAGGTGAATGAATCCGGATGCATGGTATCTCAATTCTCTAGCTAATCATGTTCAAGCATTGCTATGTTCCTTCCAAAAGATTAAGTAAAAGGATAGTTAAGTAATTTCGTTCCCAACAGACATGTTCAAATGTCTGTTAGTACTTGAGAAAAAGTGGAGAGTTCGAAAAGGATGGAGCGGCCCCATGAAGCTCTGAAAGACTTTCTCATAATTCATTGAGGTTCCCTCTATGAAATACAGTATATAGCTCAGCCTTGGAAGGCCCACAACTTTGAACAGATGAAATTCATCATGAAAAAGACGGAAAACCATGAATTGTTGAACAGATATCTAATAGTACATTGCTAGATTATAACCAAATGGTGAATTTAATCAACTTTTGGGTTTCCGTTTTCCAAGGAAAAATATGGCTTTCTTCAGTTATCAGATAAAATTCCTTCACAACCACTTTTCTTGGTGGTTGGTACAATAATGAATGGTTGTTTTAAATTCACGGCAATCCTATCTCAATCTCAGATATCCAAGTTCCCAAGGACCAAGCTTTTTTGAAGCAGTGATTCCTGTTTGATTCTCCGGATCACGGTAGGAAATGGGTAAGAGTTCAGCGCACTTTTTGTGCAGAATCCGTATGGAATTTAGCACTACAGTATCTATTTTGACTATTGATGAAATGCTTGAAAAACTTTGGTTCTTTCAGACCATTATTACCTATCCTATATATGTTACTTCCTATTCTAGTTTTCCTCCATTTTTCAGCTTTTATTGCGTCAGGTTAGGATGTAGAACTGTAAAGAATCAGAATTACTGAAAATAACTTAAATTTTTGCCTGAAGTGGTCGTTCTTCGATGGCTAAGAAGAAGAGCTGGTTCAACCTAGTGAAGAGGTTTTTTCTCTTTGAGACACTTTCAAAAACAGAAAAGGTACTTTTGCTTTTTACTGATGAAAGATGCCTGATGATTTTTTTTTCTGTATGGATGGCTGTCAATCATGAATATTATCTATTTCTCAGAAGGAGAAAAGAAGGAAATGGATGTTTGGAAGATTTAGGACCAAAAGGTTGGCATCCCTTACAGCTCCATCACCACCAAGAGACAGGACAAAAAGTGAAACAGAGGAAGAGCAGGACAAACATGCTTTAACTGTGGCCATTGCCACAGCTGCTGCCGCCGAAGCAGCTGTTGCAGCCGCTCGTGTTGCTGCTCAGGTTGTTCGGCTCACTGGTACCCCTCAATCTGACCATAAATGTGAAGGAGAAACAGAAGAACGTACTGCGGGTGTTCAACCTGATTCCTCTTCATCTAATGAGCAGGAGAGGAAGATCCAAGAACTTGCTGCCACTAAAATCCAGGCTACCTTTCGGGGCTACCTTGTAAGTTCTCATGTTTCATCACTATTGAACTTCCTTCTTTTCATTTGCAATAACTTAAGAAAACTGACGTGTGAGCTGCGAAAAGAATTATATTCCAACAAAATTTGCATATGCACATTTATTTTTTTTCCCTTTAGTGCAATTGGGTTCTTGAGAGTAGTCTCAGTCATAAGTGCTCCTCCAAAACAAATTGCACTAAGTATTGTGAACACAAATTGCACCATTGATTAACTCAATATTGGATTTTAAAGCTCTTATGGAGAAACTTGTAGGCAAGGAAAGCTTTGCGGGCACTGAAGGGGATAGTGAGGCTTCAAGCAATCATCCGAGGCTGGGCTGTGAGACGACAGGCAATGACTACTCTAAAATGCTTACAATCAGTTGTAAATATTCAGTCCCAGGTTTGTGCAAGGAGATTCCAAATGGCAGAAGGTACTTGGCAATATGATGAGAACAAACAGTTGCTAACATTGAAAGACAAGATTATTAAGGTATGAGTGGATGATGCAAACAACACTAATCCAATTCCTAAGAGAATGTCATCTCTTATTCTTCTATCACAATTTTGTTTTTTGATGCGACAAGTGCTCCATGGAATTACACTGGATAAAATGTTAAAAAATTACAGGTAGACATAAACAGTCAAAGAAGGTGGGATGATAGCATTTTGACAAAGGAAGAGGCAGATGCAATGGTTTTAAGCAGGAAAGAAGCTGCAATGAAAAGAGAGAAGATAAAAGAATACTCATATGTTCATCGGGTAACCCTCTTTGGCTGGAAATATCTGTCTTCAATTTTTATTTACTTAGTCCATTGTTCTAACGAGTTAGAAAAGAAAATTGCAGAAGTCAGCAGAATCAGAACAGAACAAGGGTAATGGAAGATTAAAGTACTGGTTAGACGAATGGGTGGATACTCAAGTCACTAAAAGTAAAGAAGTTGAAGATTTGGACTCAGTTCGGACTCCAAATCGGAGGCCTACAGAGGAAGACAGAGCTAAACAACTAAGACTGAAGACGTTTCCAAGACGGTGTCATTATCATTTAGAAGGATTGGATTCCCCAGCACCAGTTCCACGAAGATCGTTTCATAAAAAGCAGTGTTCTTTGGGAGAAGACAATTCTTTTTCTACCTCTCCTATAGTTCCAACTTACATGGCTACTACACAATCCGCTAAGGCAAAAGTAAGATCAATGAGTTCGCCAAAGCTAAGAACTGGAAGTTTTGATACTCAGTCTGAAAGCAACTCACCATATAAGAACAAGCTCTCTCTTATATCTTCTCTTACAAGAGAATTGCCCAGCAGTTGTAGGATCAGTAGCAGGTCTAGCGCCTATCAGCAGAGATCCCCTAGCCTAAAGGGTGTTCCAGGCCCTGTAAAATCAAAGCAAACCTTAAAGGATCTTAGTTTTAACTCTGAATGTTCATTGCCTAATTGGGTGCGAAAAAGCTCCTTCCCATGATTCTTCCATTCCGATCATTAGGTGCTGGTAGCAATTCTTTGTTGTTTTGTTGGTTTGAAGTGTAGATGTTTCTTTGTGCTTAAACAATTGAATGAATCCAGTTTCATGTAACTGATACTGAAAAACTCAGATACTGAAAAACTCAGATACTAACTATATATAAAGGTACAGGCTACAATAAGAGAAATGCCATGAGAGTAGAAAGTTTGGGAACCTCCATCATTAGGCACTTCCTTGGCCCATGAAAAATAACATTTGTTCCAATATCCTAGCTGTGCAGCTTCACCAAATGCAACATTGGAGCCTCTCAGTGCCGAAAGTTGTAGTTTCGGACCACGACTACTCTTTCTCCAACTGTAATAGCCACAACAAGTTGAGGAAGCAAATTCTCCCCAGGGCCACGTAGGCACAACTATTATATCATAAATTGCCTAGGCTCCATTAGAATGCCTCATGGTGCCAAAACTGGCCACCGTTTTCAATCGTTCCTATCTTAGGAGATAAAAATGCTAGAAAAAGAATTTCAAGAGGAATGAAACCAAAGACTTCAAACATCAAAATGTTTAGAACAGCATATGAAGCCTCTGGCCTTGCAACGACTTCAAAGGAGAAAACACTTCAAGTGCTCCTACACATTCTTATTGCCACCTGCAGCACAGTTTTTCTGTCTTACATTAATTACAAAAATCTTCTGTATTTTTTTTTCAGAAAGAAGCAAACTTTTCTCTCTTCATCATTTAATGGGGGTGCCAAATTTTGTTAATTCTCTTGCCAAAATTCTTTTCTAATTTCGAGTTGGTAAATTTTGATTCAGTTCCAAAAATTTGGATCGAGCCTAATTCCACATGTAGCCATTCTAAGCGTGTAAAAGAGGCCATGACCCAAGGTTAGAACAAACGGGACCCAAAAAAGTAGTTCAACCGCATCGGCTACAGCTACACTTGAATTTGAGGCTTGTCAAAGAAGAAATTTGAGACAGAACATATATTTTTTCTTCTCATCATAAATATAGCTATATTTATAGAGTTAAATGATAGCAATGATTTTTGTTAGAGATATTTAGAAATTATTGTAAAACTTAATTGAAATGAAGTCGAGAATCACAACAATTATAAAATCAAATTAGTAAAAGATTGCAGGATTGGGTTTTACTATTAGTATTGGTAAGTGTCGACATAAAGGTTATGATCGAATGTAGACATTTCAAACATCAAAAAGTCCATATTCAATCATTTCTAAACATGAAGAAAGCGAAAATGTCCTTCACCAAGGAATTGTAACTTTCATGGCCCTCAGTTTCCTTTCCAGCATTGCTCGTTGGACTTAGACCTAACCATTAGAGCTGATGGATTTAATTAATTCCCAACCAGTTTATGCTGCCGACATATAAATTATAAAAAAATAACTTAAAAATTGACTGGCTTGATAATGAGTTTGATGACTCTATATACAAAAACGCTACCACAAGTCATTCAAGCGTAGAAAATTCTCATCCTAGCTAGAACTTGTCAAGTGTTTGAGACAATTTGCAATTTGCAATTTGAAACTTGTGGGGATCCCTCTCATATTATTTAAAAAAAAAAGACTAATTAATTATTAGTCAATTGGGTCCTAGCAAATGACATTCAAAGGTGTTGAAGCATGCTTGATTTTTCATTTGGAATCTGTTTTTACGAGTCAATTCAATGTGGCAGAGTCAAGCATGAATGCTTGGATCGTTGGCTCGGTCGGCCTTTTAATGTTTGTGCGGTTGTGTGCTATTGTATAGCCTATGGTTACCCCAACATTTGTCAATTGACAGCTGATCAAAGCCAACTAGCTAGACTGCCTTGGATGCTTGTCTAATAACCGCATGATAATTACATTAGCCAAATTAAGAACAATTAGTTAAGGTGAGGATGAATAAGTGATTTGATGATCCAAAAAGAAATTCATTGAATTCAAATGTACTACATGGGTTATAATTTTCCTTTAGGGGACAATTTAGTACTGCCCCCATTTAGTTTTGTTGCCATTAATTTTATTGTGTCTATGTGTTCCTGGCAGCATTCTAATCTTGTTGCTTGCTCTCCATACAATGTATGGATCTCATTTCACCTGTTTTGGTCGATTAATCCTGATGACCAGGCTTTCCACTATATCCTGGATGGGCCGCTAGAGTCATCAAGTTATGCCCCCAACACCCTTTTGAAGTCATCCCCTGAAACAAGTTTCTTTCTCCGAATCATTTTGACCATTAATTTGAAAGGGAAAGGGAAAGGGAAAGGGCCGGGGAATAATCCAACTCGACAATTACAATTTAGAGATTGATTTTCTATATATCCAAATCACTTTTAGAAGAGGATGGTGACAATTAGTCAGAGTAATTTGAGAATTGGATCTTTGCAGCTGCAACCATGTGACATGTTAACCAAAACTAATTAACTCACTCGTTAAGTGACAAAAAATGTATAATCAGGGAATTATATGTCTCCAATCATTGTTCGCCTAAATCCTGTTTTGAGTCAAACTGTGTTCAACATGACACAAAATAAAGTTGAGAGACAAACAGCTTATATAGGTTGGCATTTGAAAATATGATTTTAATTGTATGCGATTACTGACTAGCTAGTGATGGATGAGAAAGACCTTAGTGAAGCAGCATTATGTGATGGAAATCAAAACAGGTGTAAATCAGGACTTCAATTATAAAGTATTGACTAAAATTTTTGGCAGTAATAATATATAGCAGAAGAAAAGTCATGAAAATCACGTGGGATGTAAAAATGATCACTTGTGATATGTCTTTACATGCATGTTTAATTCATGGTTTTCTTTTTCAATCTGAAGATTCCATATATATGTAGCAGTGCACTCTTAGTTTTTTATTTTATTTTATTTTATATTTTGGACCTAATGATACCATAGCAGAAGAAAATAACTGATCCACCCCAAAACCAACCACAATGCCGAGTACGAATGAATTTTTTCTCCTTTAATTCCTACACAGTACATTGAGTTATATAGAAGAATCCTAATGCTGCCAACTTACATGCATCTACAATGTGAGGACTGATGAGCCAACTTTAACTATTTGCCGTCCAAGGCTTCAAAAAGTTATAATTGAATCAAATGATTATTATGAATGGAGCCATATTATTAATCAATTTTGAGCACAACAACCCACCTAACACAAAATACAAATGGAAATTAATCACTAATTGAGTAGTGGAGTGGCTTGACTATATATTACAACTTAGAAGGTAGAAACTCCATCTATTTAGCTAGTCAGTGTGAACACGGTTTCATTTGGAAGGACAAGAGAAGGTGGGGCTTGAGATCAATGTAATATACTAACATTGACTGAATAAAAAGATAGGACAAAAGAGAAGCAGCCTATGAATACTGAAACCCAACCACAACTTTCATCATTTAAATCATTCATTCCTATGAATAAAATAATACTAATTATAAAAGTTCTGCTGCAAAACCATCCGTAGATGAGAAGCTAATCAGCATGCTGTGTTCTGTTGATGCTGGACAGTTCACCTCCTCCATCACTTGCATAGTATACTTTTAAAATATTGCCAAAATGCACTTTTCCCTAACTTTAGCGAGAAACAGCTCACCAATAAGTTTCAATGGAAATCAGACAAAGGGAGGGGAATGATCAAAATTTTTCTTTTACACAATTGTGTTTTACAGATCAACCTTTTTTGGTTTCATTAATGGGATAAAACCATATCAAACACAAAATCAGGCCCTGCATGCGAGGATGCATGCTGGCATGATCCTACACTGCAGATTTGTCCCACGCATAAACATTTGCAACAGTAAGATTAATGAGCCAACTGGCTAGCTATATGCAGATAAACATGCAGGCACAATTTTGGAGCAGGACAAATCCAGTGACACTTTAACAGATTATACATACCCCTTCATGTTCTTCAATGGTCCCTTCACTGATCCACTCAATGAGACGCGTTTTGTTTGTCGATAAAACTAAACAATGAAGAAGAATTTAGTTAAGTGGACATTGGCTTTTACCTCGTGTTCCGATGTGTATATTTTGTCCTGGTCCAGACTAGAGATGGGGCATGTACTTGGCCGGAGCAAAGAAAAATATTGTGGTTCGTAGTTGTAATTAATTACCTTAACAAAGGTGAAGTAGGTAGGTGTAGGTGTCACATGGCGAGACTTAAGCTCCAGGCTCGTGCGGCTCTAGGACCTGGGCATGCACTCATCCGACGTCCTAGATCAGCCTGACCGTCACGGTTTACACTCTTGTGAAATATTATCCGCTCTGACGCCTTTGGCCTCACAGTTTTATCCTACAAAAGGCACCTCACAAGGCAGAGATGGTGTGAACCCTTATATACCCCAATGACCTTCCTTTTATATTCGATGTGAGATTCAGGACTCTTCTTTAAGTTCGTGACATTCTCCTCCACTCAATCTGGCAATGCCCTTGTCACAGAAGCTGGTCACCTTGCCTACCTTCATTGAGGCGTTTGGTGTGGGTTGAACGGTTTAGGGTTAGCTCTGATACCATTTGTCACGGGTCGAGACTTAAGCTCCGACCCGCACGGCTCCAATTTTTAGGTGACTTTCCAACGATAAACCTAGTTTCAAACATTGAATCCCAAAAACCAATGAAAGTTCTACCGATGTTCTTTGTTTTTTAGAAAGAGAAGCAAAGGAAAGAAAAGGAGGAGAGAGAGAGAGAGAGTAGGGAAGCATCTGAAGGAAAAAAGAAAATTTTGCCTTTTATACTAACGTGAAACGATGCCGTTTTAGATTTTAAAAATAGGCAAGATCCATGCATCGCCTAATGTCGACCCTACCTATAATGTTTCAACCCATTTGCTCGTCTCATTAAGCCGTTGTCGAGTTGTGGAGTCGAGCTGTGCATCGATTCGTTTTAGCCGAATTTGTCTCTAGAGCCGCACCCCATTCAACCCAAGTCGAGCCAAAATAAGATAAGGTATTTTTTTTCTTCTTTTACCTATTTATTTATTTATTTACTTTTATTTTTCATAAATCAATAGCTTTTATTCAGTTAAGTATAAGTTTTTTTTCATATGAATTTTTTTAGGAGAATTAAAATGTGAGGACAAGGAAAGTATTAATTTTCTTTAGATTAAAAATAATAAAAATATTTCAAAAATAATACTTTCTGAAGGAAATAAAAATTCAAAAAAATATTTTCTTAGGAAGGATTGAAATATCAATTTTCCTAAAAAGTAAAAAATTTTAAAAATGATTTTGAGGAAAAGTTGAATGCATCAATTTTTCTTAAAAAATAAAAATTTTTAAAAAATAATTTTTGGAGAAAAAGTTAAAAATATCAATTTTTCTCAAAAAATAAAATTTTTAAAAAAATCTTTTTAAGAAAAAGTTGAAAATATCTTTCCTTGAAGATAAAATTTTCAAAAAAATATTTTTTTGAAGAAAAGTCGAAAGTATTAATTTTTCTTAAAAATAAAAATTTCAAAAAATATTTTTTTAGGGAAAAATTGAAAATATAAAATTTTCTTAGAAATAAAAAATTAAAAAAAACTACATTTAAGAAAAAGTTTAAAGTATCAATTTTCATTAGAAAATAAAATTTTTAAAAAAATGTATTTAAAAAGAAACGTTTTTAAAAAAAAGTTGAAAGTACCAATTTTTTTTAAATAAAAAAATAAAAAAGATTTTTTTAAAAAATTGAAAGTATCAATTTTCCTTAGAAAATCAAAATTTTTCAAGAATATATTTTTAAAATGTTTTTAAGGAAAAGTTGAAAGTATCAATTTTTTTTAAATAAAAAAATATTTTTAAAGAAAAGTTAAAAATATCAATTTTTCTTAAATAAAAAAAAGGGTTTTAAGGAGAATTTGAAAGTATTAATTTTTAATAGAAAATAAAAATTTTCAAAACTATATTTCAAAATAAACATTTTTATGGAAAAGTTGAAAATATCAAATTTTTTTAAGTAAAAGTCTTCTCGATTTCAAAAAAAAATTTGGAGAAAAAGTTGAAAGTATCAATTTTTCCTTAAATAAAGGTATTCATTTTTTTTCTTTTTTAAAAAAAAATAAGAAAAGAAATCTTAGAAAAAAGTTGAAGTATTAGTTTTTTTTCTTGAAATTTTTTTTTAAAAAAT